TGGTTTTCAGTAATTCATGCATTTACAAATAATCGAAACGAACGGATACGTCCGCCTTTGTTGTTCGTTAGTAACAAGAGCCCAAAATAAAATCATAGGTCGAAGCTCCACAACTACAACCTTCCTTGACCGTTGACCCAATTACCTCGACTTACTGTGAGGTTTACAACGACCTTTGTTAATATTTTTGTTAATATTCTATAAATAATAATAATATAATATAATTAAATAGTATTTATACAGCTTTAATTTAAACTAGAATTGGGTTTTACAAATAACACGCTATAACGGTCTATAACAATCCCGAATTTCACCCACAAGTTAAACGGGTTGAAATAAAAATCATGTACAATTTCATTCAGGTCTTGTTATCGGTATTAATGTTCAACAATATATTACGAGCCTTGTCGGAAATACTTACACCATTACTAACTCGTACGTCTAATTAAGAAATAGCAAGAAACTTTAAATCACGCATAGAAAAGTAAATATCCAACTGAAAGGCTGCGAATGGTAAAGCTCTACCACTACCACACTTAGCGTACTCATAATCACTGATAAATGCCATCATTGTCTTCTTTCTTCTCCATTCTTTTCTATTTCGTTCTTCTCTACATCTTCAATTTTCATATAATGTAAGCCAGCTAAAAGAAATAGGAACATTCTGAATAATTTTTTTAGTAGTTTTTCATTGTATTTCATATGTAACTCGACCTTTTGTTTAAACCTTTCTGCCATATGTGTTCTAGTTTATGTTTTGTTTTTCTTGCTCTATAGTTTAATTCAATTTTAACAAAGTCCACGACAGGACGTTAGTTTTAATACAGTGAAAGCGTAATCGCAACACTGTCAATATGTCGTGATCGCCTTACATGTGCGCATAGTTATGATCTCGTCAATGTAATTACCATTCTAATTATTTCTAATATCAGTGTGTACCTAATTGTAAATTGCTTCGGTAGAAATTCATTGTTTATTAATGGAATAAAAGGACTCAACGATTGTGACCACGTGGTCTCTTGATTTTTTGTTACTAATATTATAATGAACAAATTATAATGTTTCTCTCAAATTTATATATTTATATGTTACACTATCTGACCCAGCAAACGTTTTGCGATATAAATTAATCAGTTATCGGCCGCCGGGAGTAGAAAATTATTAATGTACTAATATCGCTGTTAAAATAAGGGCTGATGATAGAAGGGTGGAAATTGTTTATGGTTTGCATGTATTTTTAATGCCGAATCATAAAAAAAGTGTCCTGAAAAATGTTTCATAAAAAAATAAAATTAATGAAAATTTTTGGGGTAGACCTACACAATATACACAAAAAAAATCATAAAAACACTTCTCACAAGCACTGTGACACAAAAATTTTGTATATTAGATAAAGAAAACGTATTTTAATTTATAATATTGATTTATTGTATAAATGGTTTCAACAATCCCATGTCTAAATGTTATGTAAGAAACTAGCTACTAAACTACTCTTTTAAATAACTGTTACACTAATGGTAGTGTAAGAGTTATTTACGACTTTCTTACATTTTAGAATATTGTTAAAAAGTATCAGTGTTGTCATCAACAAACATTTTTCCAGTTTTCTTGCATGGACTACGTAGAATGTGTTGACTCAGGTGCTTTTGGAATCTCCATGTATGTTGACTCAATTAGCGTTAGTTAGCGTAAACTATTTTTTTTTTCATAATCGTATTGGAGGTCGCTTAGGGATCGAAATTCGACCATAATTAATTTAACATTAAGTAAGACTATAGACAAACAAAATTACTTATTCTCAATTTGACCACAGACTTTAACATAAACAAAAGAGAGTATATGAGTGTATGTATCAAATATATGGTAGTGTGTGTAATGTTTTTTATTGATTTAATCTATTTGTGTACATAATTTTAAAGAAATATTAGCATTATTCTGCACTCATTCTCTATATAAACTATAAATGTGTAATATTTCATACTCTTTTGTCCGCGCAATTTTCAAAGTACAAAGTTTTTTTCTTCGCGTATTAATATATAGATAACAGTCCAAGCTTCTTTGTATGTATTAACATTGTACTAATAGTTTACATTTTTTAATTCTGGCCGATGATGTTACATTCATTAGTCACAATAAAAATAATGTAAAGAAGTTACGTAGTCGAATAATTTAAACAAAGTAAAAGTAGTATTAAATGTTTCATTGTTAAAGTACGGAGCTAACGTTGATTTTTATAGTAATATAACTATTACAATACTAATACTCTATATTAGAAACATATATTTTGTACACACAAAGAAATAACCTGACTGCCAATCTTATTATTGGTGTATGCAACAGCCTAAAATCTAAGGAAATTCCAATTCCGTTTAGTTTTAGCAAAGATATCTTTTAACAAAGTGCCTACATAAAAAAACAAACAGTCGAATTTATAATCTCTGTTTTATAGTCTGTTGAAAATATATACATCTGTAGTATAATGTAATTTACACGTCTTCAGATTGTTAATCAGTTGTTACAAGATATTGAATATCTTGTAAGTTTTACATTATTTAAGTCATGTTATATTATTTATTTCATTTGTTTTTTTACTTTTCCCCTAGGTATATAAGAAACATTAGACACTGAAACACGATTTTTTTATAATCAATTATCTGTACTTCTATTTTTATCTTTTTGTTCAATCGCATTGGGTGAAGCGTGATTAATTGATATTATTTATAAAAATTCAGCTTTTTAAATATTCGAGTAGGTACATAAGAAACAGTAGAGTCTTAAACAATATTTTTACAGTCACTAATCTGTACATCTGTTTCTATGTTTTTGTAAATGAGTGCTTCACTCACATAAGGTGAAGTGATTGATTGGCTCTACGCTAATGTACATAGTCTCAATGAAAATCGTATCAGCTGTTGCATAATATACTAATTTTCATTGAACTTATTACATTTGATATTACAGCTAATTATACACAACATTAATATACATAGATATTTGGTTATCCTATTTTTTATAATGGATCATAGAATAGTGCACCCGCCTGCACTAACGGTTTACGCTGGCTTGGCGCCAGCGGATGATGGTAAGATGAGTATTAAGTCAGATCAGTTAGACCATCGTGGCAAATTCACCAGGAGTTTAACATGATGGTTTCCAGCGTGGTTTGAAGGTCCACCTCTAGCAATGTACCATACATTGCTAACAATAATGAAACCAGGACTAGTAAGATTAAAAGAAATAACGCGGTCAAGTCACATTAATATGAACAGTAGCGGGACAGAATTACATATAGAAAATGACCGCTTAAAAATGAATTTTAAAAGCTTATAATATTGGGACTAAGGCTAGTAAAAACAGAACAGAAAGAAAAAATTAAATAAACTGAACAACATTCTGTACTTACAAATGGAGTGACTATCAGTGAGAGAGACTGCGTAGTAATGGCCTATTCCACTCATGACCGCCTTGTCTGCACTTTATTAACAGCATCCGTTATTGTTATGAATTAACTACATGTAATCTTTTGATATTTTCCAACCACATTAAATCTGTCTGGTCGGGTTTTTATGCCGTAATTTAGTTGTTATTAATTTGTAATATGATTTGTTTAACTGGGTATTTAAACTAAGGTAAAGCAATATTTTTGAAATAACCATAATGTTATGTGAGTATCATAATCTTTTGTAATTGATTTTAAAAACCAAAACGGTTTAAAAAGAGTACCAACCTTCTATTCGTTAGAATGGACAAAGCGATCGTTTGAAACTTTTAGTCATAAAGTCCCCCTCGTCGTCAGCTTGGTGTTGGTGGAGTTAATACCTACCTAGTATTGTAATATTAATCTAGTCAAATGTGTTAGTTACACATATAATTTACGTTTCGTCCTCTTCATTTCACATTAAATGTGAAGATATTTAACTACAGTAAACAAAACAATCTGTTTTTAATATTTTTATCTTTATATAAATAACAGAATGATGTCATGAAATTAAATTATACAAAACTCCAGATAAGAGTGCTATTACTGAAAACATGGGTTTGAAAGACAACACGCTTCGTTGGAAAAGTAATAGTAATAAATACAAAAGTAGTGAATTAAGTGCAAAGGGCTTCATTATTGTCGCGGCGCCTTATAATGATCTCTATCACAATGATTACCATCACTGAATGATATAGCACAAAGCTTATGCTGATTGTAAACTACGTGCAATGCAATCTATAGATGATCAGTCGTGCATGTACACAATACATGTAATTTAGCATCGTTACGTCGTTGCATAAACATATAATTTCGTCTTTTACACCAAGTTTTGATCTTGAAGTATAGTATGGTTCCACACATACAAGATCTGGTTTTGTATATCGGCAATTTACACTAATTTGTTGAGTCTTCAAACGAGAATATTTGTTGTATTGTATAGATTGTTTAGTATCCCTGTCGATAAACGATCAGATTAGAATAGAATAGAATTAATAATTGTTCAAATAAACATAAATGGCTCAGGTGACACTTGAGAAGAATGGCCAAGAAACTGAGCTGTAGATTTCTTGTGGTATTCAGAAAACTAATTAACTCACCTTCTCTGTAACATTGACTATATCAATATTACATGTTACTGAGATCATGTTTCTTTATTGTTGAGATTTATATGTCTTCAATAAAAACTTAGCAGTAATATATAAATATTATTATAATATATAAATATTACTGCTGAGCTAGTTCATTAAAATGGTTACTTTAATTATATTAATGAATGTCTATTAAATATTAAACTTTTCGAAAACGTATATTATTATACAATGACAAATTGTCATATGAAATTGGTTGTTGTAGTATCGATCGATTGTATCAGCCTTGGCAATGACATAATGTAGGTTATACATTACCGTAGCTTCAAATTATGATGCAAAAGTTTAGTCCAGATGGTAATTGGCTTTCCCTATTTATTCTCTTGGGATCGGTATCTGTAATATTAACCACAGACTATTAATTGTTGCAGAGGAGGAGTGCTACCACTGCATGGCGAGTTTGGTCGCCTCAAAAGAGAAGATGTTTATCACACAAACCAAACTACTGAACGAAGTTACCTGGAAGACTGTTATGCAGATTGCGAAAAAACATGCCGTAAGTAGAAATGTTATTAGTATCAATTTAGTGTACAACATGAGGTCGATATACTCTTGAGGAAAATGGGGCTACTTTATTTGCCTTTAATTACTAACAAAACATAATCCTTCTCATTAGTATAATGTTACAGGTATTTTTTTTTCAAAAAATACATTCGATGCTTTTATAGAAGAAATCTTTTTCCTAAACGTTTTTCAGGATAATAAGGTTAATTTGTTTGCCCAAGGAGACGAAAGTAAGATCATTAACAGGCTTTTTGAAGTCATTTTAGCGAAAACTTTTAACTTCTATTCGAACCACATTTCTTAAACTCCCATTCTGTTAAATCTTTGTTCAAAAAACCTTGTCGCTCAAAGTCCCTCGATAATTTTTAATACTTTTAATATTTAAAGCTGTGAAAATGAGGGTTGATTACTTAAACACAATAACGACTTGAACAGAGTCGAGCTTATTGATCAAATTTATTATTTAGCATCTAGCTATGTATAATTATAAAGTGACTTGTCGGTCTATACATATGTACTTAATGTTTCTTTAGCAAATGAAGACAAAATACTAGTTAATTGAACTGATGAAAACAGTTAGCATTCGTTTTCTAATGTACACATGTTATATTTCATACGCTACGTAATACAATTACATACGTGTGTGTTTGACTAAAAGTGGTATTTTTTAACGAATTATTTTTGTTCAATCTATACAACACATAGTTGCAATGAGCTTGAACTGTGCGGAACATAAATTAGCCACGCTAACGTTCCTAGTGAAAATAAAATGTGTTCTGGCATTTACTAGGCTGCTTCGTGTTGAATTTTCTGTTTATCATAGTAAATACAATGTGATGATACTTTTCTGTATTCTGGAATAAGATTGCTAAAACATATTGCTGTCTAATAGTTCTTTTGGAACCGATTCCGAGAATGTACGGTTTCACGCATTTTGGTACTCTTGAATTTTATATTAGCAACGCTCTAGTATGAGACTAAAAAATTATAAATATAAAATTCATTTTTTTGTTGTCATTACCTGAAGTAAGTATACTGTAATCTAGTTCTGGGGTTAATTATGTTTAAAAATCGTTCCAAATTATTATAATAGAAAAAGAATACAAAATATAGAAGTATTATCATCATATTGAGAATATATTTGTGTGTAAGTTCTTATTTTCAACTTCAGGGCTATGTGAAATAAATTTTAGAAAACATAATGGATAGAATTTTTTTTTTACCTATCGTATTTACGTCATAATCCTTAATGTCTTGTCTTAAGGATTAATGGAATAATTATTTGGGGTCGGAGAAGTATGTCATCGTCTTCCACTGATCATATCATCTTTCACACAATCCAACCGTCTTTTTATTTTCAATCATCCTTTCCCTTTTCTATTCATCCACGTTTAAATTAAATACTTTCTCTCTTCTTAAAACATGGTCCTCTCTTTTTTGCTTAACATGCCCATACAAAATCAATCTGTTATCTCGCAATTTGTCTATATATTGTGCAGTATGGAAAGTCTATCTAATTTACGTATGTATTAATAAAAAAGTCTGTGGCATTTTATTGTAACAATTGTAAAAGAGCTTTTAGCTTTGCGTGTCGCCCGTCTTATCGGCCTTCCTCTACAATGTAGCGACACGCAACGCCAGTAGGGGACTTTATTTGTTACAATTTACGACGGTCGATGAGTTAACGTATGTAAATTTCTTTAAACTAATAACCACTTAATGCGTGAATGGTGAATTAGGCACATTAACGTGTGTTTGAATCAAACAAAGACACAAATCCGTGTCAAAGTGGCTCGAAGGACCAATGTTCTTTGTTATAAGATTACATGAAAATATGACATAAAAATAAATAAGTAATACGTACATATATTGCCTAGGACACTTTCTTTTATAATTATAATATAGATGATATGATAATATTCTCTTACGCGTTATTAATAAAAATATGTAGAGTATACTGGATGACCCGGCAAGCGTTGTTTTGCCATATAAATGATTTCTAAATACTGTTATTAAAAAGTAGGGGTTGATGGAAGAAGGGTGTACGTAGGGTTGTATGTACTTTTTAATGGCTAATCATAAAAAAATATTGTCCAAAATCACTTAGGGGAATGAAAAAGAATTCGTCCTATTCTCAGACCTATTGAACATATACACAAATTTCATAAGATTCGGTCAAGCGTCGAGTTTTATTACAAATAATGCGATATGGGAAGTTTATATATTAAATGTAATAAACCAATTATAGTTACTAAACTTAAAACAAGATTTTCTTGTATATCTTTATGATATAAAGTAGCAACTTTTCAAAAATTTATAAAATTGAAAAAAAAAAAACGTTATCACAACACGTAAGCTTATACTGTAATTCAATAAGAATTCTTACGTTAACAGTATTTCAATGTAATAGGCCGTTCACCCTGTAGTGAATAATGTTGCCAGAGCAAAACAAAACGGTCAGTTAATTGCAACATAAATCAACGATATAAACACAGAACCAATTATAAAATTAAATTATTGTACGATGTCACGTGTCGACCGGAGTCATCTTATAACAATGGTACTTATTTTATTGCCGATAACATGAGTAACTCTCTCAACTTTGGTACGTAATAAAGGACCTCGCCCTATCTAAACATTGTAGTGGTACAGTTGATTTTGTTTAATACTAGCTGTGCCCGCGGTTTCACCCGCGTTAAATTTCAATATAAAATATAGCCTGTGTTATTCTGATGTATAAGCTATATCACTGTAAAGTTTCAACAAAATCCGTTAATATTAGTAAGATGTGCTGTTTCTATGTAGATGTTATTGAATCTGAATTCTATTTAAAGATATTGGATACCTACTTACTTTTTTTTAATGCAATTTTGTCTATGTGTACATTAATTTGTTACGAGCATGCTGATATTTGGTATTGCATATAAAGTTGATATACGCAAATATCCATACAGTTATTTTTTTTTTAATTTATTAATATTTTGTACGAATAACTATAAGCAAAATTTAAAATGCAGTTTGACAATATTTCAAATATTTCATATAACTATTAATGTATATTATTTTGAACGTATATCTGTCACCACCTAACTACCTCAACCGATTATGATATTTTGTTTTGAGTGTATAGTTTAATAGGTTCTTGGATGGGTTTAAAACGCAAACTCGTTGGTAGCGCTAATTTTTAAGGCAGAACGACGTCTTAAGGTGTCAAGATGGATACATACATAGATAGATAGTTATATGTACTGTATTAAGGGTCCGCTAGTTAGCTAAAGTTATATATTACACATATTAAATTAGAAATACAGTAAACGTAGCTCATAAAACATAGAGTGATGGTTGATTAATAACAAGAAGTGTATTCGATATAAGACAAAGGTGACTGATACGTAATCGATAAATAATTACAGTACGGGGTGAACGCACGGGTTTTAAAATCGATGATGTATTCTTGAACCCCTAGTATTGAGCGATGCAACTTTATTCTATATTAAAGAAAGAAAGAAATTACGTTTATTTGATACACATAGAACATACAACAAAAAGAATTTATTATTATTATTATTATTAATTAATAGTATATATGTATATACATAAATCTAGGCGTATAACAGTGAGTAAAATATAATATATATATATGAGATTTAAATGTCCATGTAATTTGTATTAATTCAAATAATAAGCTTTTAGTTTAAAACTTATATCTTATTAAATTGTATCTCTCAATTTATATATATATATATATATATTATATATAATAATAAAAAATAATAATAATAATAATTTTTACCGTATATTTTAATCCATTTCTCCTCTCCTTAAGAGGGTTTGTTGAGAATATTTGGAAAAAAAAAAAATTATATTATATTTATGTTTGAAAAAATTGTAATGTAAAGGAAAAAAAAGCGTATATTCTATCTATTCTATTCTATTCTATTCATGTACAACCGTACGAAGTCGAGGCGGGTAGCTAGTAGTGTATAAAGTGCTGTGTCCATTTGTTATTTTTATGTTGCTCCTACTAACATTGGAGTTAAGAAATAATAACTAACACTATGGATAATAATCTGAAATAAAAACGAAGCTTATTAATAATTATTATTAATTAATAATTATTATTAAGCTTCGTTGAGCGTTCGGTTAAGCATTCGGCTGAGACAGCCTCGGTGGTCTAGTGGATTAGCACGCCGCCTTACTATCCGATGGTCGTGGGTTCGATTTATATTTTCCTTTCTCTTCTTTTATCTAATTTAAAAGAAGGTGATAGTCACCCACACGGGTCTTAGCCTTATTATTATTATATGTATTTGTAATATTTTAACATTTGTCTGTACATCTGTACACGGAATGGACTTGTTTGCAGAAGTCAGCGGCTCAGCACCTGTCGCGACTCTCGGGCGCCATCGGCCCGGAGCGGATCTACGCGGACTGGCAGTGGTGGATACTGGCCGCGTTGCCATTCCCGCACCTCGTACGGGTGCTCGACTGTTTTTTTCACGAGGGAATCAAGGTGAGATTTTTTTTTATTGCCATATAGTGGTAACCGTCGCCTATATATTAGATACGTATAAAATATACTTGGATATCACGTTATCATGTGATTCCACTCATGCGTTGCCATTCCAGAGGATTCTTATGGTGATTATCATGGATTATTTTTAGTTATATCTGACGGCCTCGGTGGTCTAGCGGTTTAGCACATCGCTTAACTTGCGATGGTTGCGGGTTCGATTCCTCGCACAGTAAATATGATTATGAAGAATATTGATCTGTGCGTTTTCTGGGCGATGAAAAAATAAGTATGCAACCCTAATTTCATTATATACCTATATGTACACGATTAAACAAATAAATAATGGTGCCCGCTGTTTTCGTAACAAAGGTCCCAGATTCGATACTCGCAGAATCGAGTTTAGAACACTTTTTAAAAATTGTTATGAATATACACAGGTCTCCCGAATTGTGATTCCATATGGTCGTTGTCTAGTTTCTAATAACAAAAATTGTTATTGTTAATCGTTATAACTTTTATCAGCATTTCATCTAACAATCATTCCTATGGTTAAGATAACATTAAAAAAAGAAAAGAACCTAAATAAATTTACTTTTATTTACTTTGAATTCATTGCATATATGAACTAGAAACTTAATAATAATAACCCAGGACAATTTACACACTGCCATGGAGAGCTTGCGTTATGAATACTAGACAACTGATGGATGTACTTAAATATTTTTTTTTTTGTAAATACTTTCACATTAGCCTTTACAATAGTTTGTTTGTGTACTTCATATACAGACAGCGATGAGTTACTTTATTATTATACTAGCTGTTCCCGCGAATTCGTCCGCGTGGAATTTAACTTATTTTTATAAAATAAGATATTTTTTCTAAAATAAGAGTTAAAATAAAAGCCTAGGTTACTTTTCATTACATCAGAGCATCCGACCAATAAAAGTTCCGTCAAAATCGGTCCAGCCATTTCAGAGATTAGCCGGAACAAACAGACAGACAAAAATTGTAAAAAGTGTTATTTTGATGTATGTACCTAATTTATATTCATATGCATGTAGTAAAAAACGTTTTTTTTTTTCAATATTACAAACAGACACTCCAATTTTATGTATAGATATATGTATAGATATTACTGGATAAAATAGAAATGGATACAATATTTACTGATATTAATATTAGGTTGACGCACAATTATTCGGCGCTTATTACGGGCTAACACGTTAATCACTCTTTGAAAAACTGCAAGGTATAACTTAGATAAGGAGTAACTTAGACTACTTTTATTTTAGAAAATGAGAGTTAAATTCCTCGCGGATGAAGTCGCGGGAACAGCTAGTAATAAATAAAATGGATTCACAGGTATTCTACAGGGTAGCATTGGCGATTTTAATCCTGTTCCACAAGCACTCGACCAATCAGAACTCAGAGTGGTACGCTGAAGCCACGAAGAACGGTGTGGACCACGCGGTGGACAAGTTCTGCAGGAACATGCCAGCGTCACCCACCAAACTACTGCGGACGGCATTCAGCATTAGAGCATTAAGGTATGACACTATCATTCTAGCTCCTCTTCAAGGTTTATTATGTTAGTATGAACCTTCTAGCACCTTCTAGAACAATTTCTTTGTAAGTGAATTTTGTGAAAGCTTTTCTTAAAAGTTGTCAAATGTGTATAATCTTATTGACTATATATTTTGTATTCCAATCGATTATAAAAGAATAATCTAAGTAGATTATTCTTTTATAATCGATTGGAAATAATAAGTATTATTTCCTCTTTCCAATAAGGACCGTCAGTCAATTTGCTATGCAAAAATCCTTCGTGTTACTTAATTCGAGTCACATGCAATAATCTTTACTATTCGTTGACCTACCAATGCATTAGTAATATTATATTATGTTATAATTATTCTTTACTGCACTAAAAATACAATAACAATGTTACTAATCAGTAAAAGAGATGTCTTTCCGACAACCAAACAGAAGGTAGAGTTAGTTGCAGTACTTCTAGTTACAGCAGAAATGTCATAAGCTAAAAGTAATAATTGTTGTAATAAGGGAGAATTCCCATAGTGCCATCTTAGTGGCCTATTAAGAAGACCTTGTGCTATGAGCACTAAACAGGTGATACATTTTTTTACATAATACACATAGACAAATAGAAATAATCATACTCATGAATGCAAATATTTATATCTTGCGAGGAATCAATCATGAGAAAGCATGCAGCAGTTGAAATGCTTGATTACGGAGGCTGTCGATGTAATAATTAACTAAAAACAAAATACTTACTATATAATAAATTACTTATTATTTTTGCATTAATTTCCAGTTCACAATATATATCCCGAGTTTTCATAAAAACGGAGATGACGCTCAAGTCGAAGCAAGTGATCACCGGCTCCCGACTGGTACGGTCACGGTCATCAGACAACCTGCCCACCAGTCAGTCCCAAGTCAACATACAGATGATGTCACACACTCTCACCATACGCGAGGTAAGACTAACACCAATAGTCCTACTTAATCTATTTACAAGATTATTTATACTACTCAATTAAGTTACCCAAGAAAATATTTCAATAGTTTTAAAATTTTAAATATTGTCTGTAATATTATAATGTGAAGATGCTTAAGGGTATTTAACCACCACGAGGGTCCTAACTCCACAACAAACACAACTCGCACTGAAATTTATTTTTATGTAATACCTATATCGGAAATGATTTTATTGGTTTGCAGAGAATGTCTGAGGAAACGTGCAAACAGATGGTATCGTAAACATTAGGCGTGGCTTTTGGCTTTTATATATCATTCGATCATACGATTGCGATCCTAACATGACTAACTGAAAATCGAATTGATTACAAATTCGACACGAATAATTCATTGTGTGTCAACGTTAATTTGTAAGATACATCTACCCGTTTAGTTTCGACTCCACGTTATGTTATTTTCCGTCTGTGTAGCGACAGGTCTGTGAATGAGTGTATTGTGCTATCCTCGATGTGATCACTCGACTTCAGACGATATCTCTCGGGCAGTTGATTCGATACTCATCTCATCGGCTTTGACTGTCTCAATTATTTACTATTTACTATGTTTCCTCCTCTACGTGTTTAAGTGTGTTGTTACTATTTTGTAAGATACTATTTTCAATTTTATAGCAATTATATAAAACAAGGTGCGTCCAGAAGTAAGCATGTGTGTGGGATTCGCTCGAATCGAACATACCCAGGGTCGGATTAACCATTTCGGTGCCACTAGGCAATGTATTCTTAGGATCCCCTCCGCTTAACAATGAGTATTGAACAGTGTATATATATCAGCAATTTGAATATTATCAGCTCTTTTAAAAAAAGGAATGGGAACACTAGGAATGGGCTACGCATCCATATTATTAGTTCTACTACTCGAAACCAAATCGTTCTGTTTGTCTGACTTATATTAACAATAATATATAAAATGATATAATACCTATTGTCATTTAAAATATCATTATCATACAATTTCAAAGTATCCAATTAAATTTTTACTGCCTGAAAATTTTCATTTAGACGATCGATACCCCGTCCAATTCAAACGGGGATCGGAATTACGTCGGTCTGAGCCCAGTTCGAACCCTTGCGGTACCCTCAGACTAAAATTGTATCAGTTAGGCTGGAGTTGGCCTTCAGCCGCTCCATAAGTCCATCCGCGCGTTTAGTGCCATCTGCACTCGTTCCTATCGTCCGATGAAGTTGTAAAGGCCAGCTGCGGCCTACAGCATTAGACTAATCCGAAAAAAGCCCCTAGCGGGTGCCCTTAGACAGTTTCCGTATGGTTGATCCGGCCCTGTACATACCGATTGTAAATTTTGCAACGAATAACATTGTGGACATAGCTTGAGATATTAACAGTATTGTGAAGCGACATCCGAACTAGTGATGTGGCGAACCGCATGTAACCGATTGTTTTTGTGTAAGTGCTAACTGTGTGCCGATTTTCCGTTAGGGCTCACATTCGCCCGGCCCGCGCGCCCTATCGATGGGCGTATACCCTATACAAGCAATCAAGTCCCAGATACTTGACCAGAGCGACGTAAGATATATAAGTCAATAAGTGTCGGCTCGTTACGAGCTTGCGACGACTTGATGTTAGATGCACCGCTTGCCACATAGGTTTTTTTTTAATTTCCTTATTTTTAATAGGCTAAAGCATCATCGAGCTGGATGTAGCTTGATTTTTTTTTATAACTTATTTGCGTTAAGCTAGAGTTGCATGTCGAGCTATTTTTCTTTCGTGACTGGGCTATGACCGTTTGTTGTCGTTGTCTGTTTAGTATATCTGTATATTGATATTTTTAGATTTAGTTTATGTATACGCACATGAAATTTTATAATTTCGTATCTACTTGTAACGATTATATAGTCACATAAAGCGAATGCAAGCGTATTTTTTTATCATAATGGTAATAAACATTAATATTCATAATACGTTAAGAAATTATGATTGGTATATATATACATATAATAATAATTTTACATAAGACTACTATACAGTATCGTATATATGGTATTGATATAAAAAACGGCAATTAAACATTACAAAAGTGATATAGTAATCAAGCAACATATAGATAAATGTTACAATGTATCAATAGATAATCCAGCTTAATTGAGATAAAACGCTCGTGGATTATAAATAAGAAGTTACCGATCATAATATTGTGATTAGATTTAAGTTAATTATTGCTGCGTGACCTGCAATAATTGTTGAGTCACTAATTACGGGTTTTTTTTATAAAATCAGTAATAATAATAATATTTATTTGTCTCAAACAATAAACTGTTACAATTGCTATCATTAAATAGTATAAAATAAAGCCGCTGTCGCTGTCTGTCCCTATGTATGTTTAAATCTTTAAAACTACGCAACGGATTTTGAAGCGGTTTTTTTTAATAGATAGAGTGATTCTAGAGGAAGGTTTATATATATAATACATGTATGCCCGTGAGAAGCCAGAGCGAGTAGCTAGTTTATAATAAAATTAGAAGGTATTAATCGAAACGGTCGAAAACTAGAGGGGGCAGTGTGTCCACCCTCTCTGCTATTCTGTTAAAGCCTTTATAGCTAAATTGTTACAACACGCCTAAAACAAAATGATATGTATATTAAACAAGAACGTAATAATTAAAACTATGTACTTGAATAATTACTGTTCTCTCTCTATCTCTCTTGACTAAAAGATAAGAGAGAGATGTTCTTTCCCTGCTTACATAGTTACCGAAGTTTGTTAGCAAAAACGCGCGACAGACAGTTTGAAAATGGGACGAATGATCTCGTTCCTTAAAACCCATTCCACAAATTGGAATAGAGTAATGTTTAATCTTAATTCAATATATGTAAAAATATAATCAAAGAATACAATGTATCATCACGCCTTTTCATCCTAAATATCATAAAGGATGTTGTACGAGACAACGGATACAAAGCGCAATTAACCCGCTCAATATAAGGAAAACAGATTAAAAATATGTATTGTCTGGTCTATACGGTTATCGTTGTTACACAGAGTAGCTAAATCCATAAAATTTAAAACTTGAATGTCAGCCTACACTCCTGTATTCTATATAGCCTCTATGTTATTCTGATTAATAAGCTATATTACTGTAAAGTTTCATCAAATTCCGTTGAGACTTGAGATTTCGCGTGAAAGAGTAACACATCCATCCATTGTCATAAACTTTCTCGTTTATAAAAAGTAAAGTCGTAAAATTGAAAAATATGTAATATATCGAAATAAAAAAAGAAAGGTGGAGAGGTGAAAGATTCACCTACACATTAATAATGTATATTTCTATAGGTGAATGAGTTTTTAACAAGGTTGTTATAAAAAAAATATATGTTCATAAAAAAAAATTGTGATGTCAATAAGAAGCGGGGACGTATCGCTAGTTGAGAACACGTTCATCATCAGTAAGTCGGTGTTCGCAGAGTCCACGCTCCTCCCACTTGGCCCTGTGGTTCCCATTCCCTAACGCGGTGTTCAAGGACCAACGCCACCATACATCAGATCTAAGGCAGAAGGTTTGGAAGCGCCAATTTCGACTAATGGGGTAGTTGGTGGCACTCTGTGCATGTCATATATCTATACACCGACACTGTTCCGGTCCTGTTGTAATATCGGAGACTTAAGCGCCATTCATAAATTAGTAAATACGAAGTTCATGATTTTTGACACCCTCCCCCCTCCTCCGTCCCCTCATCACCCGTCTTGGTCTAGTTTTATGTGTAGAATTACTAAACAGAGTGTAAGCAAAACCATTTCAAGGTCTTTATACCGATGAAGTAGGGATTATTTTAAATTTTTTCGGCAATAACTTTCGTAGTTTTAAATACTTCGGTCTCGGTGGTCTAGCAGTTTAGCGCACTGCTTTATTTCCTGTCGCGGGTTCGATTCCTCGCACCGTATTTGTATTTGTATTTTGTATTCAAGAGTATGATTGTTTGTAACGGTCTGGGTGTTTGCTATGTATACTATGTATGTATTTAGAAAAAAAATGTATATAAGTATTTATATCAGTTATCTAGTACCCATAACACTAGCTCTGTTTTCCTTGGGACTAGATGGCGCTGTGTGAATTGTTCAGGGATAAATAGTTAGAAATGTGATGTCACGAAATTTATCCGCCCCACTCCCAGCACTTGACAAGATCACACTTTGTTAACCCCCTCCATCCTCTCAACGTACGATATAATTTGTGAATGGCCGCTTAATTATGTAAATCCGTTGCTAACTATTCTTATTTGGAACAGATTCAGTCTATATTTATTGCAATTATGTATAAACCATACCACAGTTGCAATCGCTTAGTCTATGAATTTGTAACTGTAACTCAAATGGTTCATACAAAATTGGAAACCTATTGATGGTAATCTGTTATTTAAAATTGTTAGTAACAGTGTTACATAATAAAGTCTAGTTGTAGTTCGAATGGAAATAATGGTGAAAATATTTACAAATTAATTATGTAATTTCATAAGATGTTATATGACAACAATTTTTGATTAAATAGAATGTGATATTTTATAATATTTCATTAATTAATAATAAGTGTAGTTAAAAAAATCCACTGTAAGAAATTTGTTCATTCTATGGGATAATGATAATGCTCTTGACACCGGGACTATTAGAAAGATTTGGAGTTCTAAGGAAAAATTCTAACATATGAACATATTCTAACATATAACGTAAAGTACTGAAATTAAATTGTATAGATTTTTTTTTATATACTTGGAATAGCAAACATGCGAATGGCCCACCTGCTGTTAAATGGTACAGGCGTCGGAAAACTGTGATAGTGAATTTTTAGGGTATAGGCAAGGTAGTACAAGGGTTTTCCTTGTAGCCTATACCCTAAAAATACTTACTAAGTTAAAAATTTCATTGTCTCACTGTTCAATCGAAACAACTTGATAAAGATAGTTGCCAGCAACACGAAAGTTTCTTGCTCATTCTTCTTGTGCTAAGACTGGGTTTCGAATGAATGGTAAAATAAAAAAGTATAACTATTCAAAAGTGAATATCTTTATTCTAATAAAGATTATTTGTATTTCTTAGCACAGCATTAGATCTGACAGAGACTTTATAAAATCTGTCTCATTGTCTGTCGTTAACTTCTGCATAAAATATTAATAATAATAATGAGTCACCAGATGCCGTCCCAAATGAGGCAAATAAATAATAATTTTATAATAATAAATGAAGTTTCACCATTATAATCATTCGTACTATTAGTGTTTACCCAGACGTGTAAACTTATTTGTATTAATATCCCGATCATAATAGTGAGTTACCGATTATTCATTCCAGGTTATCGATTTATAATAGAATTTGGTTCGATGTTGCTAAATCGATTCACATTATCACAGCTGTGTAGCTTAGTTTGTCGATTATGTTTAATTTACTAAGTAGTTTTATTAATTAAAATTCTATATTAATTAGATTTATGTCTTAGTAAATAATCGAAGCCTGATTACGTTGTCTTTAAACAAGTAAGAGGAATATTTTACTTTGAAGTTAGTAAATAGTTAATTAATTTTGAATACAAATAATTTAATACTACTTATAATCCGCTCTTTTAGCAGTCGAAACTACATGATCATAAAGAAGTTGCATTGGTTATTCCCCTTGAATATTATATCGCACATCTAATACTGTACTTGATTAACTCAAACATTATAAATTTTGGAAAATATACTCTAAATTACATATTTAAAGTCTAATTTCATAAAATAGAATTATTTGAGTTAATCAAGTGTTGTGCTAGGTGTGGGATAGAAAAAAAAGGTGTGTAATATTATCAAATGTACATTCTCTTTTTGAAAAACATAGAATATCGATAACAATGAACAATATTGATTATATGAAAGTTTTGAACATCACTATCGAATAGTGATGTTCAAAGTATCAAAGTATTATTAATAATTTTATAACGTTTGGGTTTAAGTTTATTAATATGCCGTATATGTTAATAAATATATTAGTGCAAAATAAGAACATAAAGTCTTAAAAATGACATAGTAATGTTCAAATTATTTATTGCATTCATGTTTTTGATTTACTATTACAAAGGTAGAAGGTATAGAGTGGTCTGCGTAAGCATTTCTGTCTCAAATATTTCAGCCGCCAAGCAGCTTGCCGTGTAAGCTGTGTCGGTTGTCATTTGGCTCGTAAAACAATCTATACAAATAAATAATATTGTAGTGTCTGTTTGTAATTTCAAATTAACAGCTTTTCATTAAATGCATATGAAAGTGTATATGGTACTTACTTTAGAAAAATATTTAATGTTTATTTTGCCTGTCTGTTTGTTGATGCTAATCGCTGAAACTGGCGAATTTTGAAGAGACTTTCACAGACAAATGGCTAATGTTATAAGCAGTAACTTATGCTACTTTTAATTTAAGTACTAGAAATTTAATTAATATTCATAAAAGATACTGTTAATTTCCACCTGGAAGAAGGTAACAACTAGTTCTATAAATAAGCGACGGTTAACAACTTACCATCGTGTCCGTGAGCTTGATTGATATATCAGTTTTTTTATATGATAATTTTGTACATATTTTACCTATGCGAATGCGCTTTACTCTTACTTATTTAAAGATCACGTATCGTGTCTCATACTGTTGTTATTGCATGCGTTGTTGTCTGTCCGTCTGTATATACTGTATCGTGTAGGTAGGTGTGCACCACGCACCACGCACCAGTTGTACGTGTACTAAACAGTCACCACTAATACTGTGCCGTCATCTCACATGTGGTAGTCTTGGCATAGTTATGTTTTTTTTTATTATCTATACTACAGGGTTAGTTGTAACAAGCGGCCAGTGTTAGTACCCATGAAAGTGAAAATAATAAAAATAAAAAAATGAATGTATTGTTTATAAAGTTAATTTTTTCAAACGTTTGCCCCGGTTAGAATAAAGAAAAATGCACTATTGTGTATTGGATAAAAATTTTAACTTGTTTCTGTAGGTCTTTCTCTAACAAAGATATGATTACTTTCATGTCCCGAACGCCTATAAGGCAAATAGTAAGGCAGTAATGAGGGTGACAACCCTTAATAAAATCGTATTATTTTTTGTATTATTGGAAATCAAAAAAGTATATTTTGTAGGGGTGAGATTTTATACCAAATTAAATTGACGCCTTCCAAAAAAATCTTGTTTATTAATTACTTTGATTTTAAGTGTCAAAATTTCAAAAGCGTGAAATTGGTGGAATATTGATATAAAAATAAAATCCAATTATGGATAAATGGTGCAGATTTCATATGCATAACCGGTCACCTTTTTCACTTTTAAATTCCTACTGATCATCTCTCACTTTCATGTGTATTCTTGCTTGATTTACTAGACTAACCCTGTACATTTATATAAAGAATTATTTTTTTATGATTAATCTAGTGGGCATTTTCTAAGGTAGATGCAATCTAATCTTGTTTCAAAAATATTGAAATTGAAAGTGTGATTATGTATTATTTGACAGTTGCAAACATATATCAAGTTATAAGTTCGTAACTGTCAGATGGTTCCTACATCAACACAAAACTTTCAGTATTTAAAAATAAAATAAATTTATTTTTAAAGAAACTATTAAAAGAGCGTTAGTTATCAAGTCCCTTGTCAAACTTATTTAAGAGTGATTATGCCATAAGAGTAATCATTACATTATTCACAATTGATCTGACACAGCCAATTGAATATAATTTCTACACATTTTTATATATTTTTGAATGAATTCATAAAGCGTTTTGTAGAAATTAAGTTTCTTTATTACTTTTTAACAAACGCAAAAAAATCTAATATAGTACAAAAAATTACCAACTTTTTATTTATTGATTTGTAAATGGATAACGAGAAATGCATTTTAAAAATAATCGTTAAAATATGGACTAAAACTTTGTAATTTATTTTTATTTGTGAATAATGTTTTGATAATTACCTTATTTGGTATGATTGCACTTAAATAAAAATGAAGCTGTAAACTGTAATGATCTTAAAAAATATAATTTGTTTTTTAAATAATGAGAGACATATTGGACTTTGTAGAAAATTGTTGTTTAAATTTCACGTTAAAAATAATATGCTCAAAATAAGTGATTCCAAATTAGGTATTTATAAAAAAATAACTGTTATCCAAACCTAATACACGTACCTGTTATTCCAGCTATTCACGTTGTGGTCGTGGTTGCCGGTGCGCATTACAATGTACCAGCCGGTACTGCTTTATACCACGGAGGAGCACGGCTGCTCGTTGACAACCTTCTACGTGAGGGTGGAGCATCATGAGCCCACTCTGCTCATGATAAAGACGTGTAACAACGAGGTAAGTGCCAATTTACTCCGAGGTAGACTAAAGTTGTCGTATACCTCAGTTTCAACTATTTCAGCCGCCAAGCAGCTTGCTTTGTAAGCAGTTTCGGTTGAGATTAAGCAGGGTTTTTTTATAACACAACGCTATCTAATCCCAACCTAAGCAGAGCTTGTGTTATGAGTACTAGATTGTTTATATAAATGCTTAGATATATTATTTTTAAACATATACATAATGTACATAGAAAACAGCCAGACAATACAAACAATTATTCATTTCATTCATTCATTCAAATTCAAATGTTTGTACCCTGCCAGGAATCGAACCCTCAACCATCGAAAGTAAAGCAGTGTACTAAATCACTAGACCAACGAGTTTGTCATTTGAATTAGTATTAACATCTCATATAGTAATAATTATCAATTACTATTGATTTGCCATCAATCGTTTCATGAGATATGTTTAAATATTCCAGGTGTTCGGAGCGTACTGTTCCACGCGGTGGTTCGAACGAAACCAGAAAGATGAGCGCGGCAACAGGCAGGCCTACTTCGGCACCGGCGAGACATTCCTCTTCAGGTAATACTACATTACAAGTAACAGGTATTTTAGTATCTGTTATTTAAGTTCCTGTTCTAGTAGTCAGTTATATAACAGGTGTTGCCAATCTTAAAACTTTTCGTTACGGACGTAGAAGTAAAAAACTCGTGCTTCAATTTAGCTGTTTAACCTCGTATATGATATTTATATCGTATTTTAGCCGAAGGATGGGATTGATGGTTAAGCCACTTTAGAAATACAAATAGGACACGCTTATTGTACCAAACGTAGCAATAGTAATAGTCTATGTGCAATCATTATACATCGTCCAAATTACATAATATCTTTTTTTTAATTATAGCCTATGTGTTATTCTGATGCATCAGCTATGTTACTGTAAAGTTTCATCAAAATCCGAGCAGTAGTTATTGCGTGAAAGAATAACATCCATCCATACTCAGAAACCTTCGCGTTTATATTAAAAAAAAATAAGAAATAAGATGATATCTATAAGGTTAGATGACATGATTTATCGTATTAGACCTCTATATCCTATTATATGTCCTAATAATCGGCTGGCATCCCAGTTATATTATCGAAAATATATATTAAGTGTAGAGGAATGTATTTAATGTGATTGCTTAAAGCTTTTATTGTGTGCTGGCCATTTGAAAGATTATTACACAGTATTGGTGCCGCGTTGTCAGTTCATTTTGCTCGTATATATTTCTTTATATAAAATATTTTTATTTTTACTTCATTATGTTTTAAGTATATATATAAAATAGTCTTATAATAATCTCTTTATGAGTACGTCACTTGACTACTTGATGGATATATATTATTTTGTTTAATTCCGCTACAATTAGCATGTGTGAAACCGCAAATATTTAGTGCGGAAACTTGACTACCGTTACGACCTTCTCTAATGTTGATCAAATTCCGATCGACAATGAGTCTACACAGAATGGATAGACTCAATAACTGAATAGTTGCGGAATTAAATAACTAAATATAAATCCATTAACAAAAGAACTTCCGCAAAAGAACACATGCTTCGGTAAAATATTTACAGCATTTTGTTATATATTTTCAAATACTACAGCCAATTGCATCTTTATTTCGCACTAAGGAATATATTTTATACGTTACCTTATAAATTAGAAACTTATTACTGTGTATTTTTTATTACTATGCTTTTTATATTTTTATGCTTAATTTCTTTTATTTTTCTAGGATTGTATGCGCTGTAGAAGATATGTGCTATTATTATATGCAGATTTATAATTATATTATTTATATGTTAATAATATTTATATGTGTTAATGGACATAGAAGTATTTAAAAAAAGTTTCTTTATACTACGTCTTTATACGTGCGCGTTGCCGACCCTTAAGAAATCTTAATATACTTTAAAAACCCTATGCTATAGTCTCTCGAGATAACCTCAGCAGGTAGTTCATTCCGCAGTCGCAGTATTATTATTGTACTGTTTTTTCTGTTAGTAAATATATTTTTAATTTGAAAGTGAGTAATAAAATACTTGAACGGTTTAAATTAAATAATAAGGGAGTATAACTATAAAATAATTGTAATTTGGAGCCGGGAATGAAATATAATCAATAAATATTCTTAGGCTTCCATTTAAAAAAGAATGTATTATGAATTATTGTCTTTACTATGTTCAAATACTGCTACTATTTATTTTCCTTTATTGCTTTTTGTTAATTATTTATTTATTATTATTATTATTATTTATAATGTATGGTGCGTTCGGGTAAAAGCTTATACGGGACACGGCTGCTTCTAGCATTTACATTGCATGCATGCATCGTTTTTTATCTAACTCGCTTTGCATGATATATGCTATTTAATAAAATATTTACAATACCTTTTTTATCTTAATTGACTAGACCTAAAATAAGTGACTTTGTATTTGACTAAATTAGTGTTACAGAGGCCTAATTAGAGTAAATGCTTTTGATTCAAGAGGAATCATAAAAATCGGAAGATAAAAACTATGTATATAATTTCTACATAGTTGTAGTAGTGTTGTAATACTTTGACGTGTATATAATAACGTTTTTTTATACTTTTATCTTACAATGCCAATATTTACATGTATGTAGAATGTGGTGTTTTGTTTTTATTCAGCATTGTCAATTTGCGCTGTAAGAAATGCTTTTATTGTTGTGTGTTAATGTGTGTTTTAAATCATATTTAAAATAATGGTCTTAAATTATTTGTTAATGTGGATTTAGACAAAGAGTTCATAAACGTTGCGGTAGAATCAATTTTAATATTGCTAAGAATTAAATAACTGTTTTGTTATGGTAGGGTACGAAATTTTTTATTCAGTAAAGTCCTGAAATTCTAAAATATATTCTGGCCCTTAATATCTAAAAAGCTTATACATTTTTTGTAATGATCTTTCATTCGGTCTAAATCCACCTTACACGAGTTTTAATGTAGAAATTTTCACATAAGAGCCCCATTCACTACTTTGTTTGAATTAGGGTTACCAACCTAAAAACCTTTAGCCTTGTACGAAAATTATGAAAATTATTATAATAAAAATGTATGAAATCAATTTGGCTCCGAATATTTTTTACTGATTTCCGTAGATCCAAAATCCATTTATACTTGTACGGTTGGCAACCCTGATTTGAATTGACGTAATATTGATTATCATATTGTAACAATAATATAACAGTTGCATTCCCATAATCGCCACCACCATCATAATTTGACATGAGCGTCGCGGGTTCGTTGCAGCCTTTACCCGGAGCGCGCCAAGTACCCATGGGTGGGTTGTTCAGCCAACGCGGACGGGAAGGGGGAGGAACGGGTCGCCCACGGCTCGGAACTCTTCATGGCTGCGGATTCCAAGATGATTACCATCGGCGGAGGGTCAGTCTAACTTCCATATACTTTCAGCCTTCATCCCGTGCCGGCCAAGTACCCCTGGGTGGGATGTCTCGAGGACGGCGGCGAGGGAGACGGGAAGACTCCCCACGCCAACTCGCTGTTCATGGCGGCAGATAACACCATGATCACGATCGGTGGAGGGTATGTTGGACGGCCCCGTTTGAATGCTTGTAACGGTCTTTTGTTTTCAAGTGAGGTTTTGGTAATGTTACAATAGCTGCCTTTACACGTTATTCTTTCACGCGCTATCAGGACCGCGCGCAATTTTGTCCGGGAAAGCCAGCGTGCGCAATCTTGAGGCAATTTACTGTTTTTAAATTTTTAAGTTTCACTTTCTTCTAAAACTTTATAACCTATTTTTTTTAGATCTTATTTTCCAAAGATACGTTTATTATCAACAACAGTATAATTATGATTATACTGTTATAATTAGGATGTCCATAGATGTCCGCCATTTTGCAATAATAATTAATTATTTAAATAAGACGCTAAAGCACGCACGATTAAGAACACGGGAAGGCGCGAGCTTTTTTGTTTTCTTTATCCACATTTACATGCTCTTTCTTTCCCGTGTGAAAGCCGATTCGCATCTAAAAGAGCGTACGTGTAAGGGCAATTATGTGTTGAATTGGGTTCACGTAACTGATGATTGAAATGTGATGTCCAGTACTAACCCTCGTGTACATCGACCTAACACTAAATGGATATTTGGGCGAACTAAAAGACAAATAATAAATGTAGAATCTGCTGTCTATATTTGGATCTAATGTGGCAGCAATAACAAGGGCGAGTTTACTACTTTCTCTCGGGTTATTTTAAGGTTATCTGTGGTTCAATTACTGAATCAAATACAAATTATTTTTTTCTTGCTGATAGATTCCAACATATGAAATTACATCCATTTGGTGGTAGACCATTGATTTATACCAACTACATTTTACTAACAAACACAATTAAAAAAAATAAATAAAAAAATTTTTAATTTTTTCAGAGACGGTCAAGCTATATGGATGGACGAGAATATAAGGTTTGGCAAGACCGACCGATGCTCGACGTTCAACAACCCGCCCCTATGCCCCAGTGGCGACTTTGAGATCCGCGTGCTCGAGGTGTACGGGTTCTCCGGAGCGTAGACTGCATCACGTGCTCCAATCTACAGGGCTCCAAAGCCTTTCAGAAGGGACATTCAGGAGTGTAATAATCTCGTATCGACCTGTTACTATTTGTTACAATAGTGTCATATCCTAGTGTGTGATATATGTCGTGATCGTCGCCGCTTGCGTGCGTGCGTGCCGAGGTTGTCAATAGATTCCATACTGTTACTGCACACGCGGTAACTTGACCGCCATGTTCGCGAATTCAATCTGAATAAATCGCAGCGATCTCGCTACAGAAGTGCGAAATATAACCCCTATTAAGTAATTCGTGTGTAGCGCGTGTCGTAGCTAGAGATATTTTTGTCGATTGGTGTTCGAGAAACGTGAAATTTCTATAGTTATGCGATGTATTGATAGCCCCTTGCCGTTTTAACAGACTGTGTAGATGTATTCCTATATTTATTGAACGTTTATCTCTGTGTGGTCCCCTTAGCTATCCTAATGAACACAGCTGTCCGTATACAGACAACGAAGTCGGGGAAACTAGGTTGTTTATATATTATTCGTGTTTAGATGTCTGTGCGTAAGTACAAAATGGATTATCGTATCTACTCGTAATGGATTTAATACGCTTATATAAAGCAATATGTCTATGGGGCCTAGCCGTGTGGTGGAACGTTCAGTTTTGATGGTGTCCATGTGAACATTCCAGTGACAATGAAGGCCTAAAAGGGGTCTTTGAGCACTCGGCCGCCATGAAACTACATTTTGTAATATTTATGGTTGCCTCGTAGGTGGATAGTAGATGAAATCTGAAACACATTTAGAATGCGTTTTTTTTTAAGCTTGGACTATTATTTTTTTATCACTGTGACAAGTCTTGACATGTTCAGACAATGTTTAAATACGCATTCATGTTAGTAGTTGTTTCATGTCCATCCGAAATTCAATTTAATTTTTTGACAAGTAAAATATCTTTTTGGTCCAAACCACAGTATTTTGCTATGAAGTATCTTCATTCACTTAGACTTATCATCATTATATATACTCTTTAATCACTCGTCGTTGCTCACAAAATTGTACCAAAGAAATTAATAATAATCATAGACTTACTGGATTACCTGTTTGTGTGTTTGTTAGTATTATTAATGTTATTGATATGAATATTATAAAGTAACGTAAATGAACTAAAACTATGTTTGTTGTTATATGACTTAGGTACTACAGGTACAAATCTATTACATATTGTTTATTTATTATGGATCTGTTCATTTATTTATATATATAAATTATTTATTACTTCCAAACAGCAAACGGGTAATCGAAGTTAAACGCGCAAGATGTATAGCAAATTTTCAATAAATTACGAATGTATTTTTTTATTTTCTCACGTAATCAAATTCAAATCAACCGCTAGATTTTGCGGTCATTTTTAATCACGGTTACTTGGTAATTGTCACTGAGAAGTATTTTTAAAATTACTAACATCTAAATGATTGTAATTTTATTATAAATGTTTTTTTTGTCAATTTTGAAACTGGATACGTGCGTCGCCAGGTTGTCTGTATTATATATTATGTATAGCAGATACCTCTGCAGTCTCAAATTAGTTACTTTAAAAGTTTTTATACTTTAGCTTTAAGGAACTTGGCGAAGTACGTAACCCGTTGTTGACGCACTTATATTGACAAAATGCATTTCAATTATTTCAAAAATCAAAGATCCTAATGTTTTTTGTTATTACAAAAAACATTTATTATTATTAATAAAGCAATTGTGTTAAAGAGTCATATATGTATACTTAATTTAATATTAATATTTTATAACTATGTATGTGATATAAAATTAAGTAAAAATATGAAAAATATTTCCCTTAGGTACATAGTTATTAAATATCAGTATAAAAATATACATACATTTAAAAATAGTATATTTCAATATTTACAAGTCCACAGATCAAGTGATAATTGCCAGTGACCAGAAAATGACAGTGGTTTGAATATACTGCACTTTAACATAGTATTATTTTGTATAGTGATGTGCCAAAATCGGACCATTAAATCAATATGGCTGAATTTGAGGACGATAAAGTATTCGCTATGATTTGTATCTTTTGAATCTATAGTATTTTTACTGGTTTTACACGGTCGAAGTGACGAAACGCAAGTGGATTGTAATTAGTTTCTGTATTTTTTTTATATTTACAATTATTGTAGTGATGTAATATACAAGTTTACAAGTGGCCGTTACACGATTTAATATCGGCCTTATGTCACAATACATATCCCTGTCGGTACAAAGGGGTTACCTACGTTCATATCACCCGCGGCACTTCCTGGCTACGTTTATTTTTTATTTTGTAAATATTTAGTTTATGGTACCCATACGAGATGTGGCCATAGAGGTCGACAATTCTCTATGGCCACCTGTCGTTGGTCTCAACGTAGCTTTACAGGATAATGTAACAGTACATGCAATGTGCATGTTAATCAAAAGCCTAAGACTCGTTTTCAATTCAAATTATTTATGTAATTTATTGAGTAGGTAATTAAATGTTTTATATGTATGTTAACAAGCGCCCCCATGCGGGCGGCGGCTGTATTAGTTGACGTTAATTTTAGTGATGTATATTATAAGTCGTTTGTTTAATAAAGTTGGCTAATTATGCGTGGGCAACACATCTGCCTGCGTTTATGGCTTCAGTGCAAGCACTCAGTGCTGGCTGGCTCGCTAATTGTGTATATTGTGTCGCCAATCAAGTGTACCGTCGGTTGATGACGATTTGTTTTTAGGTTTTAGTTAGCGCCGCCGCCCGCACGGGGCCGCCACATGTTGCAAGATATGTTGTTATTAGAGAAGCTAACATTGTTCAGTGTAAAGTCTAGTCTTTATTCTGTTTTTATTCTCTAACTAAATGTAACTAAATATTATCGAATTGATATTTAAAAGATTTTCGCGATTTTTGTTCCCCTTCAAGGAACGCGTAGGCTCATGATTAGAATTAGTTTATAAGTACATATAATGTATACTGTTATTTATCTCCCTTTCAGTATTCGTGATGTACGTTTTTTTATGTGGAAATACATGTAAATGACAAGTTGTGTGGAGACTCGCTCGCGAGCCCTTGTTAGGTATGTTAGAATGTTGTTACAATCGAATATAGTCTCCTCTGGTTGCGATGATTGAGAAACGTTTATGGTAATGCAAATTAATGTTGCTTTATTACCTTTATCAAATATATAATCCCGTATACAGATGGCGTTTGTTTTATTGTCTAATATTAATACTTTGCGCTTTATAGCAGGGTCCAGCTGACAGATATACCTACTAATAATTAAGACCTAGATAATTTACGAATGCTATATAATAAATATATATATACAAATAATAATATTTAAAATGTTGACAGTACTTTGCAACATGTCATAACGTAAGTGTAATGAGGTGCTGAACTTTCTATATAAATAAAAGCATACATCTATGGGAAACCAACAGCGACAGGCTCGATTGTCTAGTAGTTTAGCCCATCGTCTTACTTCCTATGGTCGCTTCCTACTTCCTTTGGGTGGTTTCTATATATGAATGTATTTAAATATTTATATCAGTGTCTAGTAACCATAACTCAAGCTCCGCTTAACTTGGGACTAGATGGCGCTGTGTGAATAAACCTGGTTTATTATTTATTGATTTAGAAACCAAGTGTTGCGCTTGTCTTTATGTGTACCAATTTTGAAAAAAGAAACATAATCTATAAACAAAATTTAAGACCCGTCCAGCCATATAGTATTTATAATAAAACGTTACCTTTTTATAACACACCTAAATAATTATAATATTAGTATGGATGAGAGATATTTCACATATCACAGTCTCAATAAATACAAACAGGAATAAAGAGGTAAGGGGTAATAAGACTTACATGTATATTGGATTGGACGCTTAGATGTGTCCTCAGATTAAAATAATCCATTTTTAGGCAATTGATTCTAGCCCTTGAAGCTGTAAAGGCCAATGCACCCAACAGCATTACAATAGTTATATCGCAGTATATGACGACATAAGTGCGTTATGATGGTAATAACACAAGGCGCAACTTCTGTATGAGTCGAAGGTGAGGGCGCAATGGAACCGAGTGTGTTAATTACACACGCAGAACGTACATATTCAACACAGTTGATTTTAAATAAGCTCTACAATAAAACTATGATGCATTGTTGCTTTCCCGCCATTTTACTTTTTTTAATCAGCACCTACTGGCTGACACCGGGCGGTGGTCAGTTTGAAATTTAATAAAAAAAATGCTTTTATGGAATATAACTTCACTATTTGCGTTTATAATGCATGCATGTTTTATCAGCATTATATATAAAAAAACCGGTAAAATTATATCCACTTTAGGAGCAAGTGTGTTGAAAATATTTTTAAGTTGGGCTCCGGTTTAAAGAAAATTAAACTTTTTAAGACTTGTAGAAAATGGCAGTAAAACACATGTAACTCTCCTGGTTTTTCAATGATCCATTCTTCTGGTGTTTCAAGGTGTTCCATCTGCAACATTAACCGCTTACTATCATGTAGATCGTATTCTTAATCGCCGTCACTGATGTATAAAAAAAAATGATTAAGGAATCTGACAAGTGATTTTATCGAAATTTCCAAGAAGTATGTCTGACATTCAAAATGAAATATATTCATTAGATGATTACTCATTTACGTAGAATAGTTTCAGACAATATAGCTGTCTGTTAAATTCATAGTAGCGAATTGTGAGTCAGTGTACCTACTCATATTATTTCATAAACATATGGACAATATTCAAATATCTAATTATAGACAATAATTCTGAATAACTTACATATGCGTAATAAATTAATTAATCACTCAAATTATAATCTAACTGTAGGTTTTATTCATAAATAGCCAGAGAGAACTAAATTCTACATTGTTTTAGCTGTGTACTTGAATGGACTTATTGAATTTTGAGGTAGAAAGTACTCAGATGAAACCTCTATCTAGGGTATTGTAGGGCAGAAATGTTAATAAAAAATTAATAAAGTTATTACAATATATTATATTAGATTTATGAATCAGCATTTTCTTTTAATCTAGTTCTATAGTTTATAGCTCTTTTGGACACAAGATCTTTTATTTCCTTATCTTTATTTTTAACCATTTTCAGTAATTCATCATAATCTGCACCTATCTCGTCCAAAGCTTTCAGAAGATTACTCTCTGAACATTTAGCTAAGTAAACACATATGAATGTGCTCAATGGTGATTTAAGTTGTTTACAGAATTCACGCAACTCCTCCTTATCATCCTCTTCAACATCATCACCATTTTTATCCTTCTGTAGCAACAACTTCAGAGCCTTCCAAATTCTGTAGCTTGGTTGGAAGTAGATTTCGCAGTCACTCAATTCACTTAAATGCATTATGTTCAATATTGTGCCAGTTGAATCGATAACATCTATTAAATCTGAGTCCACTTCCTTCTGCTCAACAAACTTGGTCTCGTAATATTTAAGTACAATGCCAATCATATTTGATACATTCTCCCTGCTATCTTTGAACACTCCCGATGATTTATCAAATCCCACTAAATTAAGAATGGTCTGCAGGCTTATAACTAATACCCTCTCCAACTCGTCCCTCTCACATTTGTCTTTCTGATTCACAGTAATTTCAGTAAAAGCCGTAGTCAACGACTCCAGAGCATCCACTGTGACAAAATGTGTAAAAAACTCTGCTCTACACTTCTCTGTGTTGCAATATGAACATATTGTGTTGATATTTTCTAGTGCTGTTACTAACAGATCTTTATTTGAAGAGTTCTTCAGTATAAAGTACAAGGCACTTGAATATTCAATCTTCTTGAACAGCCCCATCCAAATGCATACAGCTTCATGGTCTATGAGAAATAAGCTGGAATTGATCAGTCGCAGAAGTTGAATCAGAACTAAACTGTCGTCAGTCTTGATATTCTCCAGTAATAGGTTTAAGAGAATTAACTAAATATCAAGAAATAAATTTATTTATACCTGAAAACACTTTATATCTTCTTTTTTTGCTGTCCATCTTGAGAAGTGCACTCACAACTTCCTTCTGACAGCACATGTTGCCCGTTATACCGATAAATATTTCTATAATACGAGGAGATTCTATAATGGGTAATGCGAAATTTAATAGATTCAACATTTTATGTTTTTGTAGAAACATCACGACATCTCTTTCGGCGGTCATGTCCCACAGAGTGCACAGGTCATCTTCGAAGGATTTCTCTTGAATTTCATCTTTTAGTGTATCCAAATTTGCTAGTTTCAACAAAATTTTCAATACAAAACGTTCACTGTACGCGGTGTCTCCTATCACGTCACCGGTAATCGCTGGTTCCCCTTCGGCTGTTTCCTGATTTGGCTTCATTATTATACAATTAATGCTTTACGTAATTTGATCATTGATTTATAAAAACGCCCGTTTAAAACATTGTAAAAATATAGAATTAACTAAATATCGAAATAAATTTATTTATACCTAGAAAACTATTTTGTATCTTCTTTTTTGTCTCGTAAATTCGTAATTTGTTATTCGGACCAGGGTTGCCACTAGAAGGCGCGGTTTCAAGTTGCCAGACTCGGTACTTAAAATAGTACCGAGTATAATGTACGTATTTATAAAAAAGTATCTATGTATTTGTATGAATTGTCTAGTACCCATAACACAAGATCTTCTTAGCTTGGGACTAGATGGCGCTGTCTGAATTGTCCTGAAATATTATTATATTAAAATATTTCATATTTTCAAGTAATGTAATCGACGACTTTATTGAAAATGCCAACAGGAATTTCTTGTCAAGGTAATATCGCCACATCTGGAAAGATTAGAAACACTAAACTATAAAGTACGCTTTCTAGGATGTTGTAGCTGATATTAGGTATGACAGCCTTTTTTTTTTTATTAAGTATTTTACGGCCTTGGAAAGATATGACAGCCAACAATGAAATTGCCATTAGTAAATTCATAAAAAAAATCTAATGTTTACATTTTTATTATCATTTTAATTCGTTTGTGGTTTTCCATATACCATTTGACAATTACATATGTATTCAGAGTAATACAGATTGTTATTGAAAATGTTAAATGTTCATATATAACTTTCAATTCCCATTTAAGCACCGGCCAATTGACATTTGCGTTTGATAGCCGCTTGTTCCCGAATAATCGTTAGTTGTATTGAAAACGCAAATCATCTAAAGTTCTCTGATCATTAATCTATTGACAATATGATTGTAGTTCAGAATATAGTAACATCGATATATTCGTAAGCAAAATCTAAAATACTAGAACTTGATATTTATAAACATTTATAAACTAATTTTATAAACGCAGAAGTTTGTGTGTGGATAGATGTTTGTTATTCTTTGTCGCAAAAACTACTGTATGAATTTAAATGAAACTATACTATAATTTATACATCAGAATAACACATAGGCTTCAAATGCCGCGCGGGTGTAACCGCGGGCACAGCTAGTTGAATATATAATGATCTAAAATGGATTAGGGGTTTTTCAGGAAAGGTAAAAAAAGTGGTCCTGGGGAGAATGAACATGCGAAACTCCCAACTCCGGCATAGGTGCTTTCAGGTACATAGTGTGGTTTTTAGTGGGTAAAAATTCCACACAAATTCCACACGTTAAAAAAAATGTAAAAAAGTGGTTACTTCCAAACACAAAAACTGAGAGATGAATAGAATTTATTATAACATGGACACAATTATCTTATGGCCTCCATAGTTTTATAAGTTAAGTAGGATACAGTAGGTAGTAATAGGTATTAATCTACTGACACCTAACTAGACAATAAAAACATCTTAACGAAGGTTCTAGATAAACATCAAAAAGGTTTTTTAAACCTTAGCTTAGTATAATTCAACATAATATATTGAAGTGTTCACAATTATAAAAAAAATGAATAACACTTATGTTATGAACTAACTGTCGGTTTTTACTTTAGATGGTGGACCATCGTCATTGTTATCTTGTTTCCGTTTCCGTCCCTGCCCCTGCCTGCCCTTGAAGTGTTTGCCTTTATTCTGTTTGTGATGACTGTGCTGGTTCTTTCTCCTTTTCACCATCTCCTCTACAGTCTTATCTAAATAAGCTTTCTCTTCGTCATCTTGTAATAGTCGGAATACAACTTCTTTGTCATTAATCTTTATTTTGCCATCGGTAATTTTTTCAGATATTTCTTTGGCAGCATTTTCTTTGCTGAGACGCACCCAACCTTCGCTGTCGCCTACTTTGAAATCAATGAAGGCTATATCAGCACCTGAAAATTTACAAAAAAACTTAAAGTTATTCATGTTGAGTATCTTAATTTCATTATTCTAATATAAGGATCCACTAAATTATATTTTGATTATAAATTAATTTATTATGAATAAGTTAATAGGTCAGTAGATGTTTTATTAATCAGATGTTTTGAAATATTATCTAATAAAGCTTGAACTATATGGTAATATACATTGCTTGTCTTTTAAAATTAAGATAAATTAATAATTAATGTACCTAAAGCACCAAGGGCTTCTTTAACATCTTCCCTCTTCATCTTGTCATCACCCTCACTGAAATGTAGCACTGTACCAGTGGGCAACTTGAATTCTTCCTTGTCAGTCTTGGCCTGTATATACAATTAAAAAAGAAAGAGATTTTCAATAACTTTGCTAAGATGTAGATATTGTTTTATAATACACTCTATTATAGTAAATCGGTGTTACTTTATTAAACATTCTAGGAGATCTTTCAATGTATTTTAATGGATCTGGATCCCTTGTAGGGTGGACAATGTTCAATAATAAAAACAATACAAAACATATTATATTCTAATGTGATAATAAATTTATATAGTCATAAATGGTTAGTTAATTCAAGTGTATATTTACTAAGAAGACTATATATTACGTATCTATGTACATAATCTCTGTAGAAATTGTATATAATTCTGAAAAAGAAACTTACATCTGCATTTTTCTCTTTTTTCTGTTCCTTCTTTGCTTTCTTGGCTGCAAATTCTTCTTGCTTTATCTTAACATACTCTTCTTGCCAGTAGATTAACAGTTCTGTGTCTCCATATTTCACAGGCTTGGAATCCACAAACTTTTCAGCCTGAAATACATTTTATTTTTTAACATATAGAGTAAAATGTAGATGCACATTCATTTTAAATGTACTTTTTCTAAGGAGGGTGTGGAAATAGCAGTTGTTTTTGTTAGCCATTTCAAATGTTCGTATTTTTATTGTTCTACAATTTTTTAATATAATTTAAAATGTTTAGATTTATTCTATACTAGCTGACTCATGCTTGATATTTAGTATTATATTTCACCCGATTTACATAATATAGCCTATGTGTTATTCTGCTGTATAAGCTATTTTACTGTAAAGTTTCATCAAAATCTCCGTCCATCACATATCGTCATATTTGCAAACTTTCATGTTGATAATATTAGTAAGAATTATGTGAAGACAATTTTCTGTACAGTTGATATTAAAATATTCAAAATTACCTGTTCCTTAGTTTTGAACGTAGCAAATACAGATCCTTTGAATGCTCTAGTTTTGGTGTGTGAGTCCAAGTACCTCCTCATCAGGACATTCTCCACCTCCTCAAACTGTTTGAAGAACTTCAACATGTCATCCAAGATAGAGTCTTTTGGGAAACCCTTGGCATAAATTGTGCGACTCATGAGCTCTTTGCGGCGTTCCTCATTCATCTCTGGTATTGGCATTTCTGGATTTCTTCTCACTTTTTTGTTATCCTCTGATAACTGTACATATAAAATAGTGATGAAAATCCATCCTAACACAACACTATACCTATTTTTTTTAATAATTTCATGTGTTACTTTTTATGACCTATTATTTTACAGCAAATATGTAATTGTCAATATTTAGTTTTAAATTTGATAAATAAATTATAAAGATTATAAATAGAGTATCTATAAGTGTAGTAGTATCTAGTAAGATTATAAATGAACAATCTTTCAAATTAATTTATAAAATTGAAATCCATGAAGCAAAACCTCCTTTTAATAAAAATTGTGCAGACAGAAGAATATTTCCCACACTTATAGTTTATACAGAGATGGAGTGCAGAATGCTAATATATTTTTTTAATTATGTGTATAAAATATATATTTACATTTATCAATAAAAAAAAACATTATGCACTCATATCAGCCAGCCCCACAACTATTTTTTTGAGAATGAAATATAGTAGTGATGTCACACTATATAAAGAATTTTAACTGTACATTGTAGTCCTTCAGAATAGCAATCCATGAGTGGTCATGACATACATATATAATGTTGTCTGTAGTGTTGTATATATAGGGTCCCCACTTAGGACTAAGTGGACTGTCAACATTATTATTATTCCAATCAGATAAAAAAATATCTGATTCTGCTACTACCTTCTTTCTTTCTCTATATGTTATTCTGATGTATAAGCTATATTACTGTAAAGATTCATCAAAATCGGTTCAGTAGTTTTTATGTGAATGAGTAACAATATTCACAAACTTCCACATTTATAATATTAATAAGACTTATTAAAGTAATATCCAATAATAGATTTGACATACTTCCAGTAGTCCTGATGTGGAATTATTCAGGGCTTTGCAAATGACATCTGCATCTTTAGACAACTTGGAAAGTCGATTGAATGTGATCAGAACTTCAATTGGGATCCATCCATCGTCTAGCTTGACTTGTTCGCGTAGGAACTTGTCACGAGGCAGATTGACATCACCTGAAAATTATACAGTTTAATTTAGTTCATATTTCTACCTCAAAATGTTCCATTTAAGTCACAGAGTAAGCAGTACTTTATTCTTATATAATAATAATCTCTGAAAAAAAAAAATTATTTACTGTTAACATTTTAAAATTTATATACTGCATTATGCTTTAAAATTAACTATTTTTTCTTCAATAGCTAGTTATGCTACTGTATACATATATATTAATAAATACAGTGGACCCCCAGTTATCCGACAATCGTTTTGCAGGGCAGTGTCGGATCATCAAATTTGTCAGATTATAGAGTACTGCTAATGGGGTCCCCTATAGTCCAGAATTATTTACAAAAGAGTACCTTGTTAAATAATAATAATAATAATGCACTCTGAAGTACAAATCATACTTCATTATGTATGTCAACTACTAAAAGATTTGTTATGATTTAGGCGGTCTAAAATATAACATTTTTATTTAATTATCAGTGTTTTGTGCTTTCACTTCAGAGCTGATATGTAATACACAATGAATAAACAATGAACACATGCTACTACACATACACTACACTATGCACTGCTATCTTCATCACATGTAAGTAGTCAAATTCAAACTAAGCAATTATAATCAAAACAATACCATATTCAATAATAAATATTAGACCATGGATTACAATAGCGGCCCGATTATTGAAGGTCCACCACTATATTTAAATGGATTATAGTTTAAAAACAATACTTACATAACTTGTAATAGGAGTTATTTCTTTATAATACATGTATACAAATATTATTCTTGTTTATACCTGATGTAATCTGATATTCAACAAAAGTATATAATACATTTCTTAAAAAATATATGTAATTATCATAACTACTGCCATTTTGGTAACACATGTACAAAAATAGCATGCTTATACAATTTAAAAACAATTAGGTATTACCACTTAAGTGACTTTCTAAAAATTTTCTTTTTTTTTATTTAATGCATTTGAAGCATGGGAATTATAGGGTTGTTAGGTTATGTTTTGATATTCAACAAGATTATTTAGTTCAAGCCGACTAAATGAGATATGACAACAGAAATGAACTAATATTTATGGAAAGGCATAATAAATAGGCGTATTAAATATAAATGCCGACTCACTGAAGTAGTACTCCACCTGCCGTATGATAGCGCTTTCCAATTGTCCGTCAAGCACGCCGCTATCATTTTTACCATTATCATTTTTATCACCGTTGGTCTCTGTTACCACCTCCTTTTCGGTCTTTTCAGTCATTTTGATGGGCAACAATGAACCAATCTAGGAATTTTATATATCTTCACCCCTACTGAGTAGCAAAAAAAATCACCGCAGATGTTTAAAAATAGAATACTGTATGATGTATGTACTCCTTGTAAACGATTAATAGTTAGTAAATTAGAATTATAATCTTTATAAACTACAGCGAATAGTTGTATTAATGTTTTTCATTTCTGAAAAACACGTGCTAGTAAAGAAATTGGTTCATTCGATTCACAAACACACACAGAGAAGACGATATTCACGAAATGACAAATGTAGTTTTTTTAATAAATAGTTTTAGGACTTTGGAAAATACTAATGGATAAAAAAATAATATATAATAATAAAAATCTGGCAGATTTTGTAGTTAGTTTTTTTGTAGCAGTTTAGTAGATGGACGATATTAACATATATTTAGTCTATAAATTATAAGTTACTGTAAAAATTTAAATCATTTACTTAATCTTATAGAATGGACTCTGCATCTCCAGTAAGAAATCTATAACGTCCGTAAACTTCTCTTTTAATAAAAAAGTATTGACAAGGAATTGAATGGCTATTTTTTATGTAATTATTTAATCTCTCTTCAAATAAATTAAATGGGCATCTATATCCTTATTATTCCTTATGTTCTATTAATATAGCAATGAAAGGAGTAGATTTTAAATATCATGGTACTGTATTGCTTTACGCCAGTGGCAAGGCCATCTAGAGCAGTTAAAACGAATAAAAAATGCTTTGCAGACGATGTTAGTATCTAAGAGTACAAAAGCACAGATAACATAATATTACCAAAAGGGTTAGCACTTTAGTGGCATTTTTGATTAGCTGTCAAACGTCACATTATCTTTAAAAAACATACTTATAAATAAACATCACCATACCACTTTAACGATGAATTATTGGTATAGTTAAGTTTTTAACATAAATAAAGCCGAATATTAAGCTGTGTGTGTAATGTACTCAAGAGTATCTTTGTCCTGTTGATTAGACAATGAATACAAAATGCAAATTGGAATATTACAGGAAACCGATGAATATAACCTAATAATATATCTTTGCTATTAATGCTGTAAAGACAAATAGTAAAAATGGGAGTTCGAGGTTTGACTACTTACGTAAATTTAAATCAGGATTTGTTTTTAGAACACTTTTTGCTACATGATTCTTGTGTAGTCATCGATGGAAATAGTATGTGTGCACAATTGTACAGATGCCTTAACAGTTTTTCAGCATTTGGCGGTGATTACGATAAGTATGCGTCATACGTGAAAAAATTTTTTAAAACCTTTCGCAAATGTAACATAGTCCCTTATGTGATATTCGATGGAGGTCACGAAACAAGGAAATTAAAGACTGCTTATTGTAGGGTAAAATCGAAGATTAGCGGGGCTAGCAGATTGGACCCTGTAACTCAAGGGTATCTACAAATTTTTCCTTTGTTATTTAGAAATGTCTTCAGACAAGTGTTGACAGAAATGCAAGTTCCCTTCACTGTGTGTGAATTTGAAGCAGATGATGAAATAGCGGTCATGGCAAGACATTTAAATTGTCCAGTGTTGAGCTACGACTCAGATTTTTTTATATACAATGTCTCTTATATACCATTCAATACTTTAGATCACAAACCAACATGTATAGAAGATGGTGAAAGTAGATTTTATGCTTTAGAATGTAAAGTTTATAGAGTAGAATTTCTAACAAAAAATTTTGGTGGTTTACAGGAAGATATGCTACCGTTACTGGCAACATTACTTGGAAATGATTATGTAGAGAAGAGAGTTTTCAAAAAGTTCTTTTCTGAATTCAAATTACCTAAAAGTAAGAGATGTAAGAATAATCAGCAGAGGTCTATTCATGGTGTTTTTAAATGGTTACAAAATGAAACATTAGAGTCTGCCATATCCAAAATATTGGGAAGGTGTAAGAAAAAGCAGAAGGATAGGGTATATGCAATTATTAAAAAGAGTATATATGGATATAACAGTAAGAAATGTAGGTCTTTAAAATACTTTAATTTCTCTAGTGTTGATGATGTACCAGAAGAATCAAATTGGGAACTACCAGCAATTGTTGATGCAAGCACAGAAGATACCGATTCTGATTCTGAACAATGCTCCAACAGCTCCTCCAACAGTGACATATCTGATGACGAAAATTCACAAGATTCAGAGAATGATGAGCAACTGCCGAGTTGGTACATTAGTAAAGTTCGGAATAACTTGATACCTCCAGAGTATTTGAACTTATACACACATCATTTACATTTCTGTTCTCCACAAGCTGAGGACTATACAGATCAAGATGCATTTCTGTGTACATTACCTATATTGCGATATAGTTTTGATATTCTCACTGATTTTACTCATGACCATTGTATGTATGTCAGTAGAGAAAATTGTTGTAACTTTAAAAGAATGTTGATCGACAAAGAGTATGCCATTCCTAGATTATTAGATGTTCCCTTTAATGAATTGTCTAATGACCAGTTAAATTCCTGCTTCAGTCATTTTCTAACACAAAAGATGCCATCTTTAGATTTAACTGATTTGCATTTATTACCACCAGACTTTCAACTGTTTATGTTATCAATATTATGGTGGGTGAGATATTGTACTGTACCATTAGCGAATGTTCACAGTCTGTTCATATGCTACATTATGCTGGACATTATTGATGAAAAAACTGGATCTCTCCGTGGACAAAAGCATTTTATGGATAAACATTCAAAAAAGATTGAAGAAATTAAAAGAAATCCTGTACACATTAATACTGATGATGATGAGTTGTTTTTGAATAAAAATAAAGTTCAGTATGAGGATAGTCTGGTGGCGGCAAGTGTGCTTATAAAACATTTTGAGATAGACAATACAATTAGAAAGAAACCTAAAAGTTATGATGTAAAGAGAATACACAGTTTTGCGCAGTTCCAATGTTGCCTATATCAGTTGAACTGTTTAAATATACTATGTGGTAGTCCATTCCAAACAACGAAATACAAATGTTATAATGGTACATTTGTATATAATATTGCTTTAAAGTTAGAAAATGTAATAGACCCAATAAAATTTTTTGAACAATATCTCAAAGGTGCAACTACTGTGTTAATGTATTATAAAAGTATGTGTAGCATATATCAGAAATCTTTGGAGAAGATGTGTATAATGAATAGTGAATGGACAGGTAAGAAACGAAGAAGGAGAAAGAAGAAAAAAGATGAAGTGGATGATATCATTAATAGGTTCTTTGTGGAAGGATTTGAGTCACAGGTGTCAATTTAATATGTTACTCAATAAAGCTAACATAATTATAAATTTACGAAGGTTATTTTGAATAATCAAATCTATGTATATGTTATTACATTATTGTTAACAGTTTTAATATAGAGAATTACAATTCTGAGAATTGTTTGAACTATAGTGGTTTTTATAAAAATTTTAAATATGTTAACAATTTATTAAAAGTGAGTTATTGTCAATTATTGTCATTAAATATTTTTTTATAGATTTGTTAAATATTTTATCCTGAGATACCTAAATATAGCAAAAACTATGCTACATGCCAACTAGTAAGTTTGTAGGTAGATATGTACAGTAATGTATTGGTACAAGAAACTAGCACAATATACTCCTGTACCCCATAATTTCAGTACCGTATCAGACTTAGGGGAGAGACGTGAATAGTGACATTGTGTAATCGTCAAAATTCTAAATTATAAAATAATTTATTATTCATGTAGGACATATTGAAGGTTAAGTTTTTGTAAGTAATATTTTTCTCTGTCCAGTTCAGTATATGGATTCAAATGAGAAGAACTGGCAAGAAACTCGACTGAATTTCTTTTTTTCCTCTAGTCTTCTCAATTGAATAATCTTCTAATACAGGTATTACAATAAATGTGTTTTTAAATAAGTACATACAAATAGAAATAAAAATACTGACATATTTTTTGTAATGTTTATTTTAATTTTTTTGATGTACCATTTCTGTAATATTGTATTGAAATCGGGCTTAATATAGAATTTAATTTTTCGCCAAGCACATAAATACCTAAACCCAAAATTGTGCTAAATGCGCAAAATATTAGTCTCATTGGGAGATTGAGGACGTCGAAAATTGGGTATGGCCACGCGCCAGTTCTCGCATGTAAAACGTGCATCCACACTGCATACGCCACAACGAACAGCGTCGTTATAGTACTGCCGGTCATTCTAGATGGGTAGTTCCTCTTAGTCACCAACAATTCAATAACCAAGAACATTGTGATAAATGTATGCATGGTGTGGTTGAGCCAGGCAGGGAAGATTTTCTCTAATATTTCAGGAAACACCAGCGGCTTGTCGATAGCGTAGATACCCCAGAAGGCGACTGAGACGTAGAGCGCTATAGGGAAAGCGACGCTGAATAACACGTCCTTTATTGTGCGTATAAGAGGAGTCCGTTTTGGCGTCGATTCGTTTGTTCCGATGAAGTCATTCAGTAAAGACACGCAGAAGTAGAGTGTTTGAAGTATCTGTAACAAAGTAAATTGTTGTTACAATTAGGTATGTTTAGCAAGTAATTTAGGTTAATAGTGATAGAGGACTTTGCCGTTCAATTCTGTCTACCTCTTTTAAATGTCTGGAGTGATGGTTTTTTAGTTGTCTAGTACCTAGAACGAGCTCTACTTAGCCTGGGTCTAGATGACGTTGTGTGAATATGGACTATTCACACAACGCCATCTAGACCCAGGAATATTATTTTTACATAGTATACAATGAAGTCGCTTTCGTAGTCTCTTCGCTTAGATCTTTAAAACCATGTAATGGATTTATTGCAGTTTTTTAAGACATGTACAAAAATTTATCCTTCACATAAGGTGTAGGAATTATTTAAATCGTACTAGATACCTGTACAAAATGTGTATATTATGCACACTAGCGCCATTGAAACAAACTAGGTACTTTAAAAATTGTTAATTAATTGATACATATATCGACAGATGGCGTTGTTACTATTAATAACTCTAAATGAGATTTTTGCAGAAAAGAAGTCGCACCAAAAGATCTATACATCATTAATGTTACAACAATAGATTTTTTTAAATTAAATTTAAATGTATAATTATTTATCTTTTGTAATTCCGAAATTATAGTACGTAGTAATCGCAGAATGAATGTTTTCCGGGGATTGTTAGTAATGGAGACTGAGTGCTATTGCTACCATAGTAATGTATGCTATGTCCATTCAACGTCCATAAAAACCTTGATATTGGCAAAATCATTGAAATTCCGATTGAGCTATAGTATAAAATTATCTTGCTCCTTGAAACCACGAAAATTCGTATCATTCAATAGACCAGCCTTCATCATCATTCATGGATAGATCATAATTCCAGTACCATCGATAACGACTAACATATTTTAAGATGAAAGTATTTTTTTTTATTGCATAACAATGGAATAGTGCATCCTCCTCCACTAAGTTTTTGTTTTATGCTGGCGGGGGTCCATACATATAGTTACCATGGGAAATCGCGTGGAGGTCTTTGAAAGCCCACGAATGCCAATCGTGGGTATTCTCTTAAGGTGTCATAAAACATTGATTATTTAATTTAATTTGCGGGGAAAGGGCGAAAGGGATTGTTAGTAATTTGGACTGATGATTCCATTGCCAGCAATGTAGCAAGTCAGGTTGATCTACAAGCGGTTCCACTTGGAAATCATCATGATAAAGCCCTGGTGAATTTGTTACGAAGGGCTAACTGGCCTGACCTGATTTTTAATAAAAAACACTAAACTGGGATAAGGTATATGATATTATACATAGGTGATATATTATATTTAGTAAATAAAATTCAATATTTTCATATAGAAGGTTTATTTCAATTTACTTTTTTTCATTGTACCATTAGTGTAATGTTGTTTCGACGTCGGACTCACTACCGAATTTAACTTCTCACCGATCACATAAATACCTAATCCTAAGATGGTACTAAATCCACAAAACACCAGTCTCAATGTAGGATTCAACACATCCAGAATCGGGTATGGCCACGTCCCAGTTTTATGGTGTATCACATGTATCCATATTACGTAGGCGATTATGAACAGGGACATTATAGTGTTGCCAGTCGCTCTTGACGGATAGTTCCTCTTCGTGGCTAATAACTCTATAACTAGGAATACAGTGATGAATGTATGCATCGTGTGGTTCAACCAGACTGGAAATATTCTCTCAATCATCTCAGGGAAGATAAGCTCTTTATCAATAGCGTAGATACCCCAAAATGAGACTGACACGTAGAGAGCTACGGGAAATGCCATGCTGAATAGTACGTCCTTTATGGAACGTATTAGAGGTGTCCGTTTTGGTGTTGCTTCATTTGTCCCGAATACGTCATTTAGGAATGACACTGAGAAGTATAATGTTTGAAGAATCTGCAACAAATATTATGTTATTGTATACTTGATATAATAATAATCTTGCTTTTTACTTAGAAATATAAACGCGTAATTTTGTTTGTTTGTATGGATGGATGTTTGTTTGATACTCTTTCACGCAAACACTACTGAACGGATTTTGATGAAACTTTACAGTAATATAGCTTATATATTAAACCAACACATAGGTTATAATTTAAATATATATTACTTGAATTGGGCGAAAAACATTGGCAAATGTCAAGTGAATGTGATGCAGATGAATAGTTTAATAATATTTTTAATGTTTGACATAAATATATTCAAAATATTGTTGAAGTTTCAAGATACGGTTCTCTACTTAAAACATTGTAGTTAGAAACGTAGGTAATAAATAGTGTTAGAGTACAATTTTTATTTTCACTTAAATAAATAATTTCATTTCCATGTGATCTGACATTTATTATAGGTATATGGAAATAGGTGCTTATTTGTTATTTATATTTAATTTCTTAAATTTTTTTTAATATTTATAGGTTTAAGCCAGAACAGAATAAAATTACATAATCTTATTCACTATTTCTAATTAATAATATAAATGAAGAGTATCATTTTTTTTTTGGGTTGTTTGGGCTATTGTCGGTTGTTTGTAGCACCTGTAGCACTGCAACCTACATAGATCTATTGTGCTCGCCCTTTTTCAAAGTTCGCTACCTAGACCCGTTAGGGACAAGAAGAGTATCTAAATGGTCTAAATATGAAGATAATAAGAAGTGAAAGTGGTAAAATTTTTATGTTTGTTTATTGGGGGTAGTCTCTGGTATTATTGATCTGATTTAAAAAAAATTTTAGATGTTGGAAGCCTATTTATCGAGGAAGTTTATCATCACTACATAGTATAAAACAATATCGCTGTCACTGTCTGTCCGTCCCTATGTATGCTTAAATCTTTAAAACTACGCAACGGATTTCAAAGCGGGTTTTTTTTAATACATAGAGTTCAAAAGGAAGGTTTATATGTATAATACACGCGTGTTGTATATAGAACAAGTCGAGAAAATCAAAGATTTGTAATGCATCCGTGCGAAGCCGGGACGAGTCGCTAGTAGGCTATTTTTTTTTTGTGGATGATAATGGAATGGTGCACCCGCCTGCGCTAACGGTTTACGCTGACAGGACACCAGTGGAGGATGATAAGATGAGCATGAGATCAGGTCGGTCATAAATTCCTGGAGAATTTGTCACGATGGGCTACCATCGTGACAAATTCACCAGGAATTTATCACGATAGTTTCCAGGGGGAACCGCGTGGAGGTCGACCTGACATGATACATTGCTAGCAATGGGGTTATCAATCCACATCAATCCATAACAATCCCCTTCCCCCCGCTAGTAGGCTATTTTTTTTTTTAAAGAATGATAATGGAATCTTGCACCCGCCTGCGCTAAGGGTATACGCTGGCGGGGCACCAGTGGAGGATGATAGAATGAACATGAAGTCAGATCAGTTAGCCCAACGTGACAAATTCACCGGGAATGTATCACGATGGCTTCCAGGGGTAACCGCGTGGAGGTCGATCTGACATGGTACATTGCTAGCAATGAGATCATTAGTCCACATTACTAACAATGCCTTTCCCCCCTAACTAGTAGGCTATTTGCTACGATAAATAGGAGCACAGCTGCAATGAACAATTTTGTCAAAACGGGGAAAATGTGACAATGACGACGATGCGCGGGTTAGTTATATATGGAAATAAATGCTTTTATCCGTATATAGTTAATAGGTACATAAATAAATATAATAACATGTAGTTCTGTATTTATAACGTTTTATGAAATAAAACTTCAATTAACTATGTCGTGTCGCGGTCATTAGCAGTGGAGAAATTAATTGTTAATTCAGCCTTCATTTTGTATATCCATGTTGACTAGACTTCGTTGTGGAAATTGTTATTCGGTAGGTAGTGAATTCTACTTCCAGTTATGTTTATTGTTATAAATATTTCCTTTGCCGTGGTAATACTTAATGTGTTAAATAACTTACTTATCAGGGATAAGTGTCCGATATTTCCGGAAGACTAAGGTGTGATACATTCCCCTGTAGTACCGTAACCAATAATTTCACTGCCAAATCTTTTCCTACGTATGATACACAGCTTAGCTTAAAGGTACTTGATGACTGACATAGGTGACACAGAGATACCTATATATGCAACCGATTTTGTTATGCTTTATAATGGAATGGTGTACCCGCTTGCGCTAACGGTTTATTCTGGCGGGGCACCAGTGGAAGATGACACGATGAAGTTGAGGTCAGATCAGTCAGATCAGGATTTATCACGATGGTTTGCAGGAAACCGCGTCGAGGTCAACCTGGCATGGTATATTGTTAACAATAGGGTCATAAGTCCCGTTTCCCCCTTATGCAGGCGAATTTATACATCGAAGTCTATCTATGTATATTTAAACAACCGGCGATTGTAGTACCAATTTATTCCATAGTGCATGGGATAGGTATGTCTATAGTTTGTAGTGAGCCCCGCATTGTGTCATCGCCTCGTGGAAGCCGGGATAGGGGTGTGAGGTGATTTATATTATGCTTCGCACTTTGACCAAATAACAAATGGATAGTCTAATACGAAATGCTTAGTAAAACACAGGACTTACATAGAATTAATAACAAAGTAGGCTATTGTTATTTAAATCGTATATCCCTACAGGGCTTAATTTCTCTTGTAACGATTTATGTAGTCGTTATTATAGAACCTAGAATTTCACGAAAATTGCGCGGTCGGAGGTGTATGAAATTTTGCACACTTGTAGTGTATATAGAGCGCAGAAATCTAATTATACATAATAAATATATTAAATCATTAACAAAAAAACATTACACACTTATTATTTGTTTATTGTCTATGGTCAACTTGAGAGTAGATTAATATTGTTTGTCTATGTTAAATTAATTTGGGTCGAATTTCGACTACTGGGTGAAGCCTATAAAAATATAGACTGGAATCAATTTTCTCAGTTATTACAATTAGGTATTTCTAGACAATTTTCAAGAAGTATCCATTATTTATTTAATGGTATGTCAATGGGTACTCGTTTGAAGAGAGGCGATCCAGGCCTGGGTTACCCAGTATCGGTTACAAGTACCATTACAGGCCCTTGAAGCCTCCAGAACTTTATTCACATACCGAAGTGTTTATTTACATAAACCTTTATATATAAGTTATAGCCACATTATTTAGGCAGCCCGTCCTCGTTATTTGATACGGTTATATTACGGGAGAATTCGTTAATATTTACGCTCAAATATCAATTAATACAAGAGATGTAGGAGAAGAAGATAACGTATTGTAGGAAAGTGGGCTGTATGCCGAATGTACAGCCTTATTCTAATTTGGGGTGAACGTACGAGAGGTAAAGGGGACAGACCAAAGAAGGGGAAGATGTAGTTGCTTGAAATATGTTAGAGTGCGAGATCTCTGAGGACGATGTTTGGGATAGGATAAAGTAGCAGAGCTGCGAAGAGAGAGACATTCTAGGGGCAATCGGTTGCATCGATTACAACAAGAATGTTTATACTTACAGACAAGGAAATGCAATAAAATCTTTATAAGTATAATTAGTAAATCACGGGATCTTACCACGTTTTATTTTTGTTGAGTTCTCGATCAAATTTAAAACAGTATAAAACCTTTATTTTACAAAAGGCTTGTATAGCTCGTACATCTATATAAATGTATGTGCTATCAAACAGTCATATCTCACGAATCTATAGTGTCTTGGCGCATGATGAAATGAATTGTTAATTTCTATACCTACTCGTACCATAAATAATTAATTTTATTGTTTTGTTTTGATATATTAAAACTAATACTATAAATTTGTTTTGATAATGCGCCATTTCGCTACATATCAGTGTGGCGTGATATGAATAGTTGAAACGTAGGTTCTATAGTAATATTGTTATAATATTGTGAAAGAGTATTGTAATTGGATAGGTATAAATATCGAGGAATGGAAATTCTTCTTAATTAAATTAGAAGGTACAATTTTTCGCCTTAATAGTAGCTGCTGCTGGTATTTATTACCCAGCTTCCCCCTCAGGTCTCCAAACCTTTCTATCTTCAGCTTGATCAGGCCATAAAAGAAAAGTGATCCAAATCGACCACCCGCAAACGCTTTGGTCAGGGAGCTTTGGGAGGGGTTTTGTTAGTAATGGGCTCGTGGCCCAATTGCTAGGGATTCTCTGAATTCACCACGGTGGACAAACTAACCTGACTGTTTGCTTATCTTATTATTCTCCACTGACACTGATCATAGCATAACCCATAGCGCATGCGATAGAATATGTTGCTGGTATTTAATAAAAAAAAACTAGGTGCCCTTCGCATGCCTTCCAATATATGACAAGTTTAAAAAAAAATTAAGAACTTTCAGATAAATTATAGACATTAAAAAATTGATAATGTCATTTCTATTAATTCATCTAATTAAGTGACCGACTTGCAAATTAGTAGATAGCTTATTAATTAGTGTATAAACAGGGGTCAAACTGGGCTTATCAACCAACTATGTATGTATCAACATTATAGTTTTTTTAATAATGGTTTATTATTATTCGTGATAGTAATTTGAACGTAGGTCAAACTCAAGATAGTACGGTAACGGATACTGTTATCATAGAAAAATGTTGTTACTTAGTAATAGGACTTAGGGTTCCCCACTAAAAAGATAAGAACTCTTAGAGGCTATGTATTAATTATGTGTGGTGTTTAGGGAGGAGTCTTGGAAAATGTAACGCATGTAAAATTAATAATATCTCAGGGCAATTCATACAGCGCCATCTAGTCCCAAGTTAGCTAGAGCTTATGCTATGGGTACTAGATATCCAATACAAAATACATAAATATATATATATATATTTGTATAAATATAAATACACACATAAAAATCCCAGACCGGTACAAACATTCATACTCATAAATAAAAACGTGAGATTGTAAAAATAGCCACCCCGTCATACAACTTCTATTAGAAAACTGAATAGTGGAGAGAGTTGTTGGAGTGGCTTAAAGATGACTTAAAGAGGAGACATGTGGCAAAGTGAGGACATGGCAAAATATAAATGAATAAATCGCTCTGCTCTTCAGATCAGATTTCTTGGCTTGGAATAATATAGGTAATAGTTTACATCTACATCTTGTCAGTCGACCTGTGACCAGAATGTAATAGATTGGAAATATGGAAGTTCATAAAAAAATTATCAAGGTATACTTATATCCATCTTATATACAATAATAATGGAAAAGCTATAGATCTTCGGAGGGATCAAGAAAGGCAATATAATTGCCAAGTAGGAGTATGGGAGCAAGGGAGATCGAGTCACTAACCGCTTACTTTAGCTTAGAAGCCGCTTCAGTGACAGGATGAAGGCAACCACCTTTCGACTAATATCGTACCTAAATATGAGGACCACAAAATTTTTAATAGAGTAACAAAATTTATGCAATATTTCTAATATTTATTAAGGAATAATAAAATTAAAAGTATAATTTAAATTAAAAAAAGAAATGTACTGGATACGTGTGAAACGCAGTGATTACTTGCTCAGTGGATATTGGCTCAAGTACTAAAAGTTTGAAATTTGAAATTCGAATAAAGACGTATATTTTTTTAAGGCGTAAAACAATGGAGTATATTTTTTAAAACTTCTAGGTTTAAAAAATATACGCCTTTGTTTAGTTTATTTGTTTGTTGTGTAGTTGTCGCCTAGATTACGAATTTCTCTATGATAAGAAGATATTTCTGTATCAATTTTAGTACTAAGCTCACATTTTTGACTTATTTCTTGTGGCCCCATTAAATAAAATAAAACTTTTTAAAGGTAAGGGAATACTTACGAAACACCATATTGTCAAAAATATATATCGAGCCTTGAACGGCATTTCTTCAAATACTTTAGATGGAAACGGTATATCCAAATACAATTGATCATATGCAATTGCAAATACATTCAGCGCAACCACCGATAAATGGAACACGGGCAGCAACATTGTTAATATAATAACTAAATTAAATTAATATTAAAATAAATATAATCTCGACTGTCAACACTCGCGTTTGCGCGCCAACTGAATTACAGCGTATTCTTTTTTTTTTTTATAAGTAAAGGCGTGCATGTTTACAATGTTATAATGCTATGTATACACAATAAATTTTACAATTATAATTAATGAATAGGTACCTAACATATGAGAGATAATCGTATATAGGTAATTAACTTTTGAACTGTGTATTATATTTTTGTTTAAATTCTGAAGTATTACAATATTAGGTATAGAATAGACATACGAGTAAAATAATATTATTATTTGTAACTGGAAATAGTAGGAATTCTGTTAATATGGCTGTATCGCCTTGTATATAATATATATTTATAAGAAAACAGACATTACACTTTCTTTTTTCAAAAAATATTTGCCGTGGATAGCCGCTTTTTGGCCGTAGCTGTACTTTACTACTTTACCAGACGAATATGGGGGCGAGTGCAGAGGGTATTCTAATTCCAAGAAAGGACTTATGGAGCAGCGCAAAGCCCAAATCCTGCATGGCGAATATGACTTCAATCTTAGGTCGTTGCTCGGGGTTCGAACCTCGCCTAGGACCATAGGTTATTCATATCTAGAATCCCGTTGGAATGTCTTGTCTTTAAAAAAATACAGAAATACGGACATGTTCTTACTAAATCCTCACTCTTGTTCTTAGTTCGCATCTCTAGTTTAATTTTCTATTTTTTACAATATTTGATAGTATACACGATCATACAATAGTTAGTAGGTTTACTTTATTCGTTCGTGACAATAACCACAGTTGTAAAGATGATTTGAGGTTCATAGACACGCAGATGTGCATTAAGCTTAACTTTCCGACGTGCGAGTCACGATAAACGATTATCAGTTAACGGACCTTGTTACATAATGCTTAATTATTGAATTGTGATTAATGAAAGCAACGTTATGGAACCGAATTATCTCTCTCGTATGTCTTCTGGTTTTTCTAATTTAAAACTATTTTCAATTATTATGCCAATAAAAAGTGTATTGTGAACCTTTTCAAAATTTGAAAATGGAACATAACTTTAGGCATCCATTATGAGCTGCGTAAAATATTCGAGAATATTCCAAACTTAAAAATGTTATAATTACGTATTTTTGATGTACGAGAGAGCGTCGTGGTCCAGTGATTTCAACAGTTGAATGTCACTGAATGTCATCAGTTTAATCTGGGTAACACTAAATAAGTGTGCCATTTTATATTTCTGACTGACTCTCCAATCATAGAAAAATTGATAACTAATAAAACTAATCAAAGAAACAATGGCGGGCACCGCTTGCCACATAGAATCCAATATCGAGTGAAATGTCTGCATGTCAAGTATAGCGTTTACTACGATGACTATAAGTGATACTGCCTCTGACTACCTCATCTGGGATAATAATAATAATAATCTCAGGATAATTAGAGATGCCAATTCAGACACAGCGCCATTTAGACCCAAGTTCTGCTAGTTATAGCTTCTGTTATAGGTACTAGATAATTGCCACAAATACGTAGATATTTTTGTTTTCGTAAATACATACATATTATGCATAGAAAACACCCAGACCAATAAAAACAATCATACTCATGAATATAAATGTTTATGCCGTGCGAGGAATAAAACTCGCGACAATCGGGACTAAGGCGGTGTGCTAAAAAGCTATACCATCGAGGCAGTCAGGCGATGAAATGTTGTGAAGCAATTTGCGACCTGGAAACCCTAAACCCACAGTATATCACTATATATACATACATTATAACTATGGAAGGATTACGGTATAATACTGTTTAAAGTTTACTTAGTTCTATATTTTTTTATTTCTATTATCAATGTCAGGCGAAAGATACAGACCTTATACTATATAGAAACTATATGGTACGTTATTATTATTATATATATATATATATATATTTATTATATCTCCCTTTTTACGGGGGTAATATATTCAAACACGCGTATTTTATTATTATTATTATTAATAATAATAATAAAATCTCTCTGGGGCCCTGAACACCGGCTGACTGTGCTTCTGCCGGGGGTAAGTTGCCATCTCTTCTCCTTAAGAGGGGAGATGAGAATTTTTTTTCTGTTTAAGAAATAATAATAATAATAATATATTTATTAATTTTTACATAATGTCATTAGTTTATAGGCCGTAACATCTGTGCTAGGGAATCCCTGCGTTACAGATGTTATTGACTAAGAACTTTACACTATGTACTCTAAATGCAAACAAAAGACTTAAATAATAATATTCCGACGGCATTAATTCCACACCTAGACTATAATCCCAGGATTAGTCGACTTATACTCGTAGATAATTAAAAACGTAGTACTTAATTTTCCCGCGTATTTCCGAACACGTTTCAATTTAATGTATTGTTGCTATACTATGTTATTGTAAATAAACGTTGAAGTGAATTTTCCCACATTTTCCAAATACATTTGAATCTAACACGTTGGGGAGCGAGCGTTTTGCGATTCTTTTGGTTAGAAGTGTTTATTTAAACCGCCTCGGTGGTCTAGTGGTTTGGCACACCGCTTTACTATCCGATGGTCGTGGGTTCGATTCCTCGCACGGTACAAACATTTGTATTCATGAGTATGATTGTTTATATCGGTCGGGTGTTTTCTATGTATAATATATATTTATTTACAAAAAAAATGTATCCATGTATTTATATCAGTTGTTTAGTACCCATAACACAAGCTCTGCTTAGCTTGGGACTAGATGGCGCTGTGTGAATTGTCCTGATATATTATTATTATTATCTATACTATATTAATCTATACTAGTATTATAAAGAGGAAATATTGAATTGTTTTTTTGTTGACATTAAATAGGCTCTGATACTACTGGACTGATTTGAAAACATTAGAGATATATGTATCAAATATATGTAATAACGTAACTATTGTACAAAATCCATTAAAAATCTTATATTATCGTAAGCTTACAGAAATTATACCAGAATACCAAGACCAAAATGATATATTTGTATAGAGGATTTCAATATTGAATAGGTTGTAGTGCATTTACTATGTTTAGGTATATGTTAAGCAAAGCCAGGCGGGCCGCTAGTTTTACTAAACTTACTAATATTATAGAAGCGGAAGTGTGTGAGTCTAATCCACAAACATATATGTATATATATGCCTATAATGTATGTATTTTAAAATTAAATTATATAACTGATTATAGTATAATAAACTAGAAACATTTTACAAATGTTTTATATAAGCTATGGAAGAGTGGAGCCTCCTGGCACAGGAATCTTTATGCTTAAAAGGACTCTTCAACAACTGTAGAATGTAACTGTAAAATTGTGTTACCTAAATAAATAATTTAGATTTAAACAATTTTTTAGATTTGGATTTTCGATGGATGGATGTATGTTTGTTACTCTTTCACGCAAAAACTACTGAATGGATTTTAATGAACATAGTTTATACATCAGAGTAAAAACATGTAATTTACCAAAATACTATGTTGGAGAAATATAATGACAAATGTCAAGTAAGTGCAATCTTATATAGCTAACTATCTAACATGCATAGGTACCCCGCTAGGCTGGTCAGACCAGGCTGGCCGAACATCAGTGGAGAATTATATACAGAGTATAAGACAGGTCATTATAAAAAAATTTTTCGGGGTTGATAATGGAATAGTGCACCCGCCTACGCTAATGGTTTACGCTGGCGGGGCATCAGTGGAGAACGATAAGATGAGCATGAGGACAGGACAGTTAGACGTGACAAATTCACTAGGAATTTATCACGATGTTTTCTAGGGGAAACCGCGTGGAGGTCAACTTAACATGGTACATAGCTAGCAATGGGATCATTACTAACAATCCCCATCACCCCCATAGTAGTGATTGAAGTAAGCAATAAAGTAGAGTAATCTGTTATTTAGGTGATCGTTTAGTCTAAACATGTTACAGCTACAGGTGAACTCAGATCAGGTGATAACAACGGACGATTTCATAATATATGAAGTGCTAGTTTGAATAGTCGCGTGATAGCGTAGATAATATAAAATGTGGGTGCTATCTGTGCTAGGTAACAGTGTAAGTTTAATTAAATAGATAAACGAGACTTTGGAAAAATTCGTCTGCATCAGGTGCCTCAGTTTCACCTATTCCAGTCGCTAAGCAGCTTGATATTTAACCTGTGTAGGCAAATTTAGATCTGCATGAGAGCAACACGGGGCCCGTACCCGTACCCGGGCGGTAAGTTCTTGGGCGGCAAATTCGAACTTGGCAGATGAATACACAATTCATATTTTGACGCACCTTTGACAATATCAACTAACAGACGCACGTTAAGTAAATTGTTTTTATTCGATGCATTTGAAAATAAAGATATAACTGTTAATAAAGTCACAATAATTAATAGTAATACCACAGATAATATAATATTACATAGTAATACTAATAAATAAGTATATTGCAAAGTGCTGGCCGAAGGCAGAGAGCGGGGGAATGTTAGTGGGGCGGCATTTTTTAGTTTATGCTCCACCTCGAAAAAAATGAAAATCCGGGGCTGTGTGTAGGACAGAAAAGGCAATGATAAAAGGCATGACATCTTATTCCTTAAAATAGTAAAGTATGAGTGGGAGCAATGGCGTCATGTATTAACGTGATGTTGTTCATGTTTAAACGTATAAATAATAAATAATTAAATATATGTATAAACGACGGTTACCACTTACCATCAGAAAAAAGTCCTCTGCGCAGGTATTAGTGCCTCATCTATTGCCTTCTCTGAAAGTTTAGTTTCAGGTTTGCTTTGTTCTGGTTTGAAAGATGAGAAATACTTTTGTCCCACTTATTTCAGCCCCCAAGCAGTTTGTTTTGTAAATTGTGGTCTTGAAAGGTGTAAAAGGAGAAATGGGAGTGACATGATACATTTATTATATATATCTATACAAAATAAAATAAAATTGGAGTGT